TCTAACGTTAAGAAGATGTGGGACTAATCGCTGTCCTCCTGCCCTCTGCGCTCTTCCTCTTTCTCTGCTGACAGCCAGCCTGGCAGGACACAGCCACGACTGATGAAGCTGCCCAGCAGGACCTGGACACTGTGAAAGAGCTTCGCGTAGCTGTCGGGCAGTGGTACCTGATCAGGCATACAAAGACAACAAACAACGACCCAGTGTCCCAGCGCCAGAAGACTCTCTTACCAGAACAACACGCAGGCTTTCCTCAGGCTGAATGATCACATAACTGAAGATGGACTGTAGACTTGAGGAGGAATCACACACAGTCATATGCAAAAGTTTGGGCGCCCCTGGTCAAATTACATGTTCCTCTACAGAGAATAAACTTAGACACATTTTAATGCACAGTTGCTGTTCATTTGCTGCATTTAACATGTTATCGGCTCATTTTGAGTGCACACACACACACACACACACACACAGTGGGGTCCAAAAATATCAGACCACTAGAACGCCAGTGAAAATGCCTCTATTTGCTTTCCTTTCTAATTTGATACAAGGTTTTTCATTTTTAGATTATATTGTTGGCATAATAATTTGCGGGAAAAGTATAGTCTGAAATTTTAACATGAATTTTAACTTTTTTTATACCCTCTTTGCTTTAATGACAGCGTGCACTCGAGCTGGGAATGCACTCCACAAGTTTGTGCAAAAGCCTCTGATGAGTAGATCAGAAAGAGTGGTTTGGAAAGGAAAGGATAAGACCAAAAAAACTAAAAAATCTGACCTTTTGTCACAAACCCACTATGTGTATGTGTGCGTGTGTGTGTATATATATATATATATACACACAAACACACACACACATATGCATATATATATATATATATATATACATTACATCTTAGGTTTTAGCAGTAAACTTCACAGTAAGTCAACAGTGATTGAGGCAGACAGTCAGTAGACTCCTCTGAGCCACTGTGGCTGCACTGATGATTTCCCTGAGGGTCAGAGGAGAGATACTGTATGTGTGTGTGTGTCAGTCTCAGTGGGGCTGAGAGAGTCAGACAGCCTCAGTCTCACACTGTGCTCTCCACTCTCCTCAGCAGGCCAGCTGCAGGGCTCTGCACTCTGCGCACCCGCTGCCCTCTGAGCTCTGAGCTCCCGCCAAGGTGAAGGAGCATCGCACAGAACGGAGCAGACAGAGAGAGAGAGAGAAACCCCCACCCTCCCCAATCCAATCAGAGCACACTTCCATCCTGACCTTGAGCTAGACACTGCACACACAAACAAAGAGGACCCTCCAGGTGGAGCACAAATTACACAGAAATGACTTACAGCCTCTCTGAGTGTGTGTTTACTGCAGTGAATCAACAAGCAATTTTGTTTATGTGAATACAAGTGTAAGGAAGACAGAGACAGAGAGAGAGAGAGACAGAGAGAGAGAGAGTGACAGTATGAGACAGACAGTGCAGGGGAGAGAGACAGAAAGCGGGAGAGAGAGAAGAAGAAGGGAGAGAGAGTATCAGAGACAGTGAGAGAGAAGAAAGGGGAAAGAGAGAGAGTGAGAGAGAGAAATAGAGAGTAACAGAGAGTGGAGGAGAGAAGAAAGGTACGGAGAGATAGGGAGGGAGAGTGAGATGAGAGAGAGAGAGAGAGACAGACAGAATGACAGTATCAGACAAACAGGGAGAGGAGAGAGAGAGAGAGTGACAGTATGAGACTGAGACTAACAGGGAAGGGGAGAAAGTGAGAGAGCGAGTGACAGTATGAGTTACAGGGAGAGAGAGAAGAAGTGGGGGAGAGTATGAGAGACAGTGAGAGAGAAGAAAGGTGGAAAAGAGAGTATGAGAGAGTTTGAGAGAGATAGACAGTAACAGTATGAGACAGGTAGTGAGGGAGAGAAAGAGAGATAGACAGAGGCAGGAGAGAGAGAGAAGCAGAATGACAGTTTCAGACTGGGAGAGAGAGAAACAGAGAAAGTGAGAATGAGAGAGAGTGAGAGACAGAGAGAAATAGAGAGAGAGAGAGAGAGAGAGAGAGAGGGATGTAATTCTGAGTGTCTATAAATCCTGAAAAGCAGCCTGTCGTGCTGTGTGAGTTCTAGCAGTCGGCCATAAACACTGTGGACACGACAAGGAGACGCAGCAGCGGAAAAACACGAATAGTCACGACTGGGGTTGTAAATCTCTGACCTCACAACCATTTAACTTGATTACACTTCTTTAGGAAATGTAATCAAGACTATGCATCCTGAAATCTCACAGTTTAAAACTGATAGTTCCGGTACGGAGATCTGAGTAGCTGAGATACTTAGTCTAAATACTACATCCATCCACTTACAACAGGCACAGGTCAAGCAAAGGTACTGTAGTCAAGCAATGCTCTCTGCTGCAAGGTCCTGGATATACACTGACGTGCCAAAATTCATGGGACAGTAGTAAGTAAACTGATAATGAAGTGGTGCTACCTCAGGGAATGGCCTGAGAACGCCCACACCTATATAAGCTGTGAGGTGTTATCTTGTGAGTGAGGCTGAAATCTGGCCAGCGTGCTCATGGCAAGGTAATGTAAATCATCAAAGTTTGAATGAGGCATGATAGTGAGTGCCAGACCGATGGGACATTCCATTTCCGAAGTTGGGTGGGCATTTAACATTCCTTGATCCACAGTGTCACGTGTGTACCGGGAATACGTCACAGAAGGCACTACCACCCACAGTGGACAGCGCAATGGCCGCCTCAGGTGCTTAATGAGTGTGACCGGCGGTGTCTAGCTAGAATTGTCCATGTGATCAGATAAACAACTCTGGCAGAAACACATTCAATGCAAGAGGCCCCACATGCATATCCTGCAGGTCAGTACAGCGTTTTTTTACCTTCCATGTGATATGGGAGCAAAAGACCCACCAGAGTGCCTCTGTTAACACCACAACACCGGACACAGCGCCTCACCTGAGCTTGTGAGTTTCTAACTGGACCCTTAGAAGACTAGCAACATATGGCGTGTTCTGATGAGTCACAGTACCAATTGTTTCGGGTTGATGGAAGGGTTCGTGTGTGGCGCAGACTCCATGAAGCCATGGATCCCAGTTGTCAACAAGGCACTGTGCAGGCTGGTGGTGGTTCCTAACTGGTGTGGGGTGTGTTCTCATGGCATGGGTGGGTCCACTGGTCCGTATAAACGTCATTGACTGGTGACCACTATGTTTCACTGCTTGGTGACCATTTGCAGCCCTTCATGGACCTTATGTACCCCCACATGAATAACTGGATATTCTAGCAAGTTAATGCACCGTGCCATCAGGCCCAAGTTGTCCAGAATTGGTTCGAGGAGCATTCTGGAGAGTTCTGACAAATGGTGTGGCCGGCACGCCTGCATGGTTACCAAACATGAGCCCAATCAAGCAGTTATGGGATGTGGTGGAGAGGTCTATTTGCACCCGAGATACTGCACCTACAAATACCACAGAGCTGTGGGTGGCTATCCAGACGGCGTGGCTCAACATCCCTCCAGACATCTTCTGTCCACTTGTGGAACCGATCCTACGCGATGCTAGTTCCTGTCCCATGACTTTTGGCCTGTCAGTGTATTATTCAAATACACAGATTATATATCAGTTCAGTCTCAGTTGGTGCAATCAAACTGAAGCATATTTAGAGCCCTAGCCAAAAAAAATGCTACTAAAAATCAATGTTAATGACAAAAGCATGGCCCGCAGCCTCTGGCAGTCTCTCTTTTCTAGTGCTGAGGTCACACAGCAAACAAGTTTTGGATTCCTCTCCAGCGCTCAGCCTCCTCGCCAACACGGATAATAATTACACACTGTCACAGCGTCGCCACAAAGCAAAGCGATGCTTTCACTAAGCAAACCTCCTGAATACAAAACTCCTGTTATTACACATGCCAATTAGATCCATGGCTGTTTGGCTCACTTCAAATCAGAAGCTTTGTGGTTAGATAATGTCAGAAATGGGGAAATGTGCAGCACAGCAGTGTGAAACTGAGTAAACTTGTGAGAGAAGTGAAAAATGCACCACTAATACTGGCCTGACAGTGATACCTAGAATCATATCACTGCCATCTCTAGTATACAATAAGCATCCTTGCTATCCATTTAGCTTTGTAGCTCCAGTGGAAGACTAAAGAAGCAAACTTGAGTCACCAAACTTGGCTTGGCTGATCAACTACAACTCTGAACTACATTCAAAGACATTCTAGAAACTGAACTTTTTATGAACAACATAAAGAGTTAACTTGTGTCAGAAGGATCATAGTGGGATTTAGAGGCCCAGTCCACTGTAATCTTAGGGTCAATAAACAGTCCCTTGAGAAAAACCAAACCAATTGCTGAGTAAGATCTAAGAAACATGATTACAGATGGAGTTCCCTTTACAGTGAGCTTTCTAATTTAAAAGGCAAATCCAGTGATTTTTCAAAATTTCAGCATAAATCAATAGCTAAGATGTAAACAAAGTCATTCAGAGTGGTTTGATATGAAATGCTTCACTGCAGAGAAACTTTTCAGTACTGATCTTATTAAAGTGGTGGTGACAGGAACCAGGGGTCACAATGTCTACACAGGCACTCTATTTATTATCCAAAACAACCAATTTTTATATATATGTAATGTTGAAAATGTCCCTCTCTGCCAAGAATTTCTTAAAAGAAATATGTTTTATTTTCAAAGCTATCATGAAACAAGGCCTCAGCCATCAGACAGTGTATTTGTAACAGTGGTGTGCAACAGCTTTCTATGAAAAAGCTTTTAGAGGCGTTAAACATTTCAGATGTCTGGTTCCTATCAACATTGTTGTGAAGAATTCTGCCTCTGTGAATTTATCTAAAGCGGTGCATTTCCCATAGACCACTCTGAATTACTTTATTTTCATCTTTTAATTATGCCATAATTTTGGAAAATTTGTGGAATTCCCCTTTAACAATTTTAGCTGTTACTCTATCAGATCTACAGCATTCTTTGTCAAGGACAAATGAAACTCAGGATGACTCACCTTTCCAACAGATTTAGCAAAGCAGGGGAACACAGCATGAGTTAATGGTAGAGTTTCTCTCAGCCCAGTAAAGACTGCTCAGGGAACTCCTCAAGGGCAAGAACTGTGAAATAAAATTCACAGGAAATAAATAAATCAGGGAATTTGGAAATGGGTGAGGTTATCTACACTGAGCCTTATCTGTCTACACTGTAAAGTATTAACTTAAATCAGTCATGACCTTTGTGGAAACAATGAAGTAACACTGAGGTTCCATTATCAAGTTTAAGGGACCCAAATCATGGAAAAATGAATTCCTCACGTTTTGAATTAATTGTTTCTGTGACGTCATATATTTATATAGTCCTGCATATTCATATCAGAGTTCCAAGTTTTTGCATGAGGCAAAGCATAAGACAGCCAATCAAAACAGAACTCATTTACATATATCAGTCTTAAAGGCACAGTAACTAAAACAGCCTAAGGGATGCTAAGGCATTAAGAGAGGTTGGAAAATAGTCATGTTAAATAAACTATGACCATTTTTGTACAGAAAACCAATAAATGTTATAAGTAAACCTCATGCGAAAAATAAAATACATGAGAAATTTAGGATATGGGCCCTTTAAACCGCAGGCTTATTATCCAGCTGTTATCTGTAAGACATTATCTATAAGATATTATGCACTAACCATTCTTGAGTTACTCAGTAATCAGTACGGAACTAATATGTAATGTATTATTTGTAACAGTGATGAATTGAAGGCCATTAGGGTTTAAGGGGTTAAAGAAACCAGAGACTACAGTAATGGTGTCGGAATATTTTACAGAAACTGGGGCATAAAACTGCTGCATATCCTTAACGTTTTAAGGATTTAATCTATTATGCATCTTCTCCTACCATAGAGCATAATGTTTATGAAGTGCTCCACAAAATACTCATAACTAAAACAACAACAACAGAAGAAAATTAATAACTAAATGAATAAACATGCAAATGCAGGTTCAATTTTTAATAAATGGCACCGTCAGAGGTTTCATGAGCTTACTGCTTAGTTAATAACTTTACAGCTTATTATTCAGAATGATTCAATAACTGCTAAGAAACTAATATGTGAGATATGTAGGCCTATCTAAGAGAGTGAGGAAGGGTACTTAAAAAGTCAAGGTAAACCTTGTTATAGATTAGATCTCAAACAATATGAAAATTGGTCAGATACTGGTATAAAATTATACTGCCAAATAATAAAAGGCCTATTTTCTTTTTTTCTGAATTTTATTTTTCTTCAAAGTCCACTTGTACCAAAAATAGTCATAATCTGTTTTTACACGACCGTTTTCCAATCTCTCTTTATCCTATAGAACAGGGGTATCCAAAGTCCGGCCCTAGGGCCAAATGTGGCCTGCGTACAGGTATGAATTGGCCCATGGCTTCTGTTTTAGAGCGTGTGATAACTGGCCCGCCAACCAGTACGTTGCAGTTTTTATTCTTACCTGATGGTGGCAGCACTACCGTAAACTTTCAGTGAAATGTGGTAATCAAGTTAGTTAGTTCAACTCTTTAAGGCCGAACAAAATTGTGGCTATTTATGCTGTTTGATCTGCTTCATTCGTTTAATAAAGTGATTTTTGAATAGAACATGATCTAACACAACCGAACATTCATTGATTTTTATACACTTGAATATTAATACACTTAATACATTAGTCATGTTTTGTTGTTACTCTATAAACAAATCAGTAATTTGTTATAAGCACTTGCGCTGGTCTGAGTGGATCAGACACAGCAGTGCTGCTGGAGTTTTTAAACAGCTCAGTGTCACTGCTGGACTGAGAATAGTCCACCAACCAAAAATATCCAGCCAACAGCGTCCTGTGGGCAGCATCCTGTGACCACTGATGAAGGACTAGAGGATGACCAACACAAACTGTGCACTCTGACTTTACATCTACAAGTTGGACTGACAAGGTAGGAGTGTCTAATAGAGTGGACAGTGAGTGAACACAGTGTTTAAAAACTCCAGCAGCACTGCTGTGTCTGATCCACTCAGACTGGCGCAACACACACTAACACATCACCACCACGTCAGTGTTACTGCAGTGCTGAGAATGATCCACCACCTAAATAGTACCTGCTCTGTGAGGGTCCATGGTGGTCCTGACCACTGAAGAACTGGGTAAAAGGGGGCTAACAAAGTATGCAGAGAAACAGATGGACTACAGTCTGTAATTGTAGAACTACAAAGTGCTCCTATATAGTAAGTAGAGCTGATAAAATGATAGAATGAGCGTAGAAACAAGGAGGTGGTCATAATGTTGTGCCTGATTGGTCTATGTAACTGTTTTGGTTTTGTGACATCACAAAAGCAACTAATTCAAAGCAGTCTGTTTGTGCACCATTATTTCATGTACAGTCTGTATGGACTGGGGATTGAAGGATACATCGTAAAACCTTAACAGTGTTTTCATCCTATGACAAAATCTTTTATGGCCAAAAAAAGAGGAATATGTGTTTCCATTATATGGGCTCTTTAAACAGATTTCAGAAGGTTTAGTTAAACAGTGCTTTACTGTCTGATAAGATTGTCAGTTTTTTTTTTATGAACTGTCAAATATGACAGTCCTCATCAAATTTCTCAAATAAACAAATAAAAAGTCACAAGGTCGTAAAAAAATATGAAAAAAATGTAGCGTGGTGATGGAGCCTCCCAGCATTCTAAGGGTTTTTGTTCATTTCTATTAATTATCCCTTATTTTATGTACAAATTCTTCTAAAATAACACCTTGAAACCTCAGAGCAATTTACATCATATTAACCTGAAACCTTAATATCGGTTGATTTTATCAGCCAACCGATATGAGTCGTGCCCTGATGCAGTTCACTGCTTTCTAACATTTTATCGAGATCCCAGGGCTTTAAAACGGCGAGCATTCAATTACTGCAAGTGTTGCCATCTACTTCCAATTTAGCCTGGGTTTCCTTTTCCACTGGGTATGAAGAGGCTCTGAGTGCATCTGTAAGTGAACTTTAAATGACTCTTTGCAGGGACTGGATAATCAGGGCTGTGTGAGGTTAGAGCGTCCGCTCCGCTCCGCCGCCGCCTGCCAGCAGGACTCGACCGGAGCAGGAGCTGAGTCAGGACTTCTGGCCAGAAGAAGAGCCTGTGGAGCTGCTGGCATCTCACTGCCACATAAAACACAAGCGGCCACCCAGCCAGTGCACATGCCAACACCCCACGCAGGAGCCAACTCCATCCCCATGTACAGACTCTGACCTAAACCAACAGCAATGCGAGGAGGTGAAGGAGGCTGAGGCTTGGAGAAAGAGTCAGATCAACACATTTAAGCAGAATGATAGATTTAGATTTGACAGAAGAGCCTAAAACAAAGCAATTAAAGCGAAATCTACATCACCGTACAAAGAGCTATGTTTAAAATAAATTTACACAAACTAGTATCTAATTTAATCAAATTCGTAAAGGAATATTACACCAATTTTTCTAAACTTCTGCATATATCAATTGTTGAGATGTAAACAAAGTCATTCAGAGTGGTTTGATGTGAGATGGTTGATTGCAGAGAAACTTACTGAGTCAGATTTCTTTACAGTGGTGGCGATAGGAACCGGGGGGGTCACAATGGCGACAACACAGATAAAGCCATTACGTTAACTATTCACAACCACATCTTCTGAGGTTTTAGGCTAATTATGGTAAAATAGTGGTAATTCTGAAAAAATATGTTTTATTTGGGGACGATATTGCCTTAGAACAGCCTACATGTACCCCTCCGCTATGACTGATTTTAAGAAATGCTTAAGCTCAAAAACTATCATAGTAATGTCTCAGGCAGCATGCAGCACATTTGTAGCCATTACATGTAATAACTTCCTATGCGGGAGCTTTGAGAGGCTTTAAATTCTTCAGATGTCTGGTTCCTATCATCACCCACTGTCCAGGAGTCCTAACAGATCTCCCAGTTTCCTGGAAGTTAGTAATCTCACTCCTACGACACAAATAAAGTCTATCTTTTTAATATTTTTTGTTCAAAATGTTGTGAGAATGTTGAATCAGGAACCCAGTATTGTTAATCAAATCACTCAAGAGCACAAAGGTGTGAACAGTTCTGCAGTTTAAGAACTTAAGGACTTTTTCTTAGGACCTTTCTCAAGAACGCATTTAAGAAAAAAAACATGCAAAAAAAAAAATCCATGCAGTAAGATACAGAGGCGTTTGTATAAAGCATGAAGAGCTGACCTTGTAGAGGCCCTGTCAACACATTTCATGCTCGGTACATCAATTAGCAGCACCTATGCAGTGAAAGTGACTTCCTACAGTGGTCAGGCACGTCTGCTGGAACATGCTAGCCGCACTTGTCACATGGATTAAAGAGACCCTCAAAGATGAGCGATAAAGGAGAGCGAAGCTTTAAAGTCAGAGTAGGGCAGGAACATCCTGAATGGGCAACTTAATGATAAATGTGATGAATTTAATAAATTATGTCACATTTAGCTTTTCACAGGTATATCATGTAACAGTTGTTTGAATTTTCCATCAGTTCTTGCTTTATTTATGTAAACACTGAATGAAAAAAATCATTTTTTATAAACTTCATAATTGCCCTGGTCTATTTAATCGAAGCTGATGTTCTTATAGACCTCAGACAAAAAAAATTACAAATAATGGGTAACAAAGGGAAAAAAGTCTCATGATGTTGTATATTTGCCACACAGCCAATCCATAATGCACAGCTCCACAAAAAAACCTGAGCATCCAGCCATCCAAGCTCCAGCATTCCAAAAGAGGAGTGCTAAGCTAAGAAGAGACAGCTTTGCAGTTTTGGTAATAAAGCTGAATTATATAAGATATAGTGTTTATAAAGTGAAACACGAGCCCAGCTTCCAGTCTTTTTCCACTGAAAATTTCTGAAAATGGTCAGAAATGGCACTTTTAGTTTTCCGACAAATAAGAAAAAAGGTTGAAATATTTTATTGAAATAAATAAACAGGCCTACAATGAAGTGTCTTAAATTTAAATTGAACAATGATTTAACATTTTACAAATGATTTTAATGGTAATAAAATTGGAAACACGGGATTTAAAACACAGTTTGTTTTCTTCGCTCTCCTGTGCTGGTCACCACAGATGCGTTCAAACTGTCTGAGCAGCAGCTGATCAACAGGAAAAACGTGACATCTCACTTGATGAGCAGAAAACAGCAAAACAACAGAAGCAGTCAGTGAAGCCTCAGTTGCAATGATACAAAAAATTCACAAACAACAGTGCCAAAGTGCAAAGTACAGCTAAAACATAATAGAATGTATTCCCTTGGACAATTTTCTGGATTTTATAGCCCCATACTGTAATAATTTTCAGCTCAGTTTTGTCCTATTGCAAAGACACACTATGAAGAATAAGCACTGTTTTCATTGCCTTGTGCTTTTATTTACGCTTCAATTCTAATGAAGGTTTTTGTGCTCACAATACCCTTTACTGGCAAATAGTAAGGCTCAAATTTGAGATTCTGCATTCATCTATATCTACCCAGCATCTGTGATTAAACCCGGAATCTGGCAGAGTTTCACTTCCTCATGAAAAGAGGATATCTCTTCTGAGTGATATTACACCAAAAACAACTTGAGACTGAGAAATACACTGCTTTTCAGGACAAACCACGGAGCTCCCACTGTAAGTATTTACATCTTTACAAAAGACCACATTTGAAAAAGACAATTCCTTAAACATCCTTGTGTTTCGGAATGCCTTTCTACAAAAGACGTCAGCGAGCTGAAACTGTCCTTTTCTGAGCAAATCTCCAGCAAAAGAGGATCGCGTTTCGTGTTAATTTATGGCTGGACCTCGAACATTAGTCTGAGCTTATCACAGCTTATGCGCCTAAATTTTTAAAAGCACCACTTTACCAGGGGAAAAAAAAAAAACACAGGCCACCAACCAGAAGCCAAGGAGAGAGGACCATACTCACTCCACTGGTGACCTGACCCAGATATTAACCCAAGCCTCCAGATGTGTGCTGGCCGCAGGATTACTCCACCACTGCACTGAGCTCCACATGGTTTTTTAATGAGGGATCCCAAAACGACCCTGGAGCCTAAAACTCCCTCTAAAGCCCTCTGATGCTCTCGCTCTCTCTTGTCCTTATAAGAGGGACAAACTGATGCGGACTACGTTTGGTTAGAGTGAAATATTTTAAACCGTACATTACGTATCCACATACAACTGCATTCAGGCTAGGTCTGCACAGTGTTGCCTAAATATCATATTGCGATCATACTGACAGAACTGTGATATGTATTGTTATATATTAAAACAATTCAATGTGATCAGGTGAAGGACAATATTTTCATATTTTCACTTAAGTTAGCTCCAATGACACAATCTGATTGGTTGAGCTTTCTACCTGTGCTTTTTTTTGATAACACCACTCTTTCCCCACAATAATGTATCATCAGAGCCCATTTAAAGTGAGCCTGGCCACTTCCTATTTCTCCCATTACGCCAAAAACATGATTGCAAAACACTAGAGGGCGCAAATGAGCGAGTTCTCAATTAATAAGGGTTAATGGGTCTAAATGGCTAAAAACAATTAATTAAAAATGCTTCTAGCCATTTATGTGGGAACTTTTTAATTTCTGAAAGTAAAAGAATGTATTACATTAAAAAATCAATGAAAACCCGTTTCTTTCTGTTTTCTACAGTAAAGATCGAAGGACTGGGTGATTAATCAGATTTTATTTTCATTATGATTTTGGCTTCCAACGATACATATGTTTAGTTATTTTCAGTAGGTTGTGGAAGTGCACCACAACACAGTTGATCTTACTAATTATGATCTTATTCATTTTTATTTATTATTTTATATTATACATTTAAATTTACATATATCATTTATTTTATTGATTTATTCATTTCTTTCAGATGAACTCTATATAAAGTGTAATCCACTGTTTAAAAAAAAAAACAAGTTTTTTTAAAAGCTCACTAAATTAATAATGTTTCCAAAGTCAATGAGTAATCGTGTTAAATAATCGTGATTCAGATTTTTGTCATAATTGAGCAGCTCTAGTATGATGCTAGCATTATTGCTACTGAGTGCTGGCTGGTGAGCTGATTATTATTATTTTTTGTTTAAAAATAGTTAAGCATTTACAAACTATGATATTGCATGATATCATCTTGGACTGACTCAGGAGTGCCCTCTAGCACCTGGCAAACCCTAAATACACTTGTGAGCGCATACAAAAACAGACAATGCACACATTAGATAAACTCTAGAGGATAATATCTGACTTGCAGCCCATTTGATCAGACTCTGTAAAAGAGTATGACAGCAGGACTACATCAAATTCTGAACCTGTTCTTGATCCTAAACAAGGTTTTCAGCTGTCAGGTGTAAACAATTGAACAAACTGAAATTAGCCAGAAACCAACAGACAAGATTTACAGACTGACTAGATGTAAAAGGACATTTAGGTTAATCTGGCAGGTACTGAAAAAGCTGAGCTGAACCTGATATTGCAACAGTGTATATATGTATAATGTTAGTCGTGATAATATTCATGTTCTATTTCTTAGTTATGCTTGGTAGAATGCTGTGACACCTGCGAGTAGTCAACAGGAACATCAAATACTGGTATTTTGTCATTTGTTGCATAATTTTTATGATAAATATATTGCATAAGTGACAACTATTAACAAAATATATAGCGCAGCTCTAATTCAAACTACATTTAAAGTCAATGTGAATTGGACATTTTGCATTTTCCTTCCAAGTGCGGCACGGTATCGAGGGTCTCTGAGCTAGCTGAACGTTTTCTCTCCATGATAAGTGGGGGCAGTGATGAAACATGATATTACTGGTTATTAGCATTTTTCCTTGCCTGCTGGTGCACAGTGACATCATCAAAAATCAGAAGAAATTGTAGAGTTTTTAGACTGCTTTTCTCCCAGTGACTGTCATCTCTAAATCTTCCACTGATTTAACACAACCCATCACCATTTGAAGAGCTGAAAAATGGCTGTCATCAAGGATCAGAAATCAGTCCATGGGATCAATGTTGGCCCACAATAATACAGTAATCATACATTACATAATATTGAAAGGATCTAGTTATGACATGGACCATCAAACCTCCAGCAAAACATATCACAGAAATAATCTCTTCTGTTTTCATTTCATTTAGCTTAAATTCACCGTAATATTTTCATTTTTTAAGCGCAATTCTATGAAAGCCCATTCCCACCACTTAAAATAAAAACCCAGCACCTAGTTATTATTTTTATTCATAATTAATTGATTAAGTGATTATTCTAAGATGCTAGGTTGTTATTTTGAAATGCTAAGTCATTATTTTGAGATGCTAAGTCGTTACTTTGAGATACAAGTCGTTATCTTGAGACATGTAGTCATTATTTTGAGATGCTAAGTCGTTATTGTGAGATGTTAGGTCATCACTTTGAGATACTAAGTTGTTATTTTGAGAAACTATCCCATTATTTTGAGATACTTAGTCATTATTTTGAATTACTAAGTCATTATTTTGAGATGCTAGGTTGTTATTTTTAAATGCTTAGTCGTTACTTTGAGGTACTAAGTCATTACTTTGAGATACAATTCGGTATTTTGAGATACTAAGTCATTATTTCACGAGTCTCATTATTTTGAGATGCTAAGTTGTTATTTTGAGATACTATCTCATCATTTTGAGATGTTAAGTCATTATTTTGAGATACTATCATTAACATCTTAAAGGACTTAACATCTTAAAGTAATGACTTAGCTTCTCAAAATAATGGCATAGCAATTCACTTCACAATGAAAAAATAATAATTAGGTGCATTTATTTTACTTAAAGTGGCAGGAATGAGCTTCCAGACAGTTCATATGAGATCAGTGTTTAATCACATCACTCAAACAAACCTAACTTTTCCTTCTAGCCCATCAGTGAAGAAACTTTCTCCCACGACCGAGATGGAAACGGTGAAGAGCACAGCCAGGTGGACTTAAAGGTCATCAAGTCCAACCACAAAAGCCTGAGGTGGCACGCACTCGCTCAGCTTCACCATTCCTCACATATTCTGCCTGGTATGATATTAAAACTTGCTCTCCTCTCAAATGTCCACAGTGGCACACCAACGTCCACAAAAAGGCACCAGTCACGACCTGATCCTTGCTGAAGCTCCCCGATAGGAGAGAATTTAACTCTTTATGTACAACAATGCAGCTATTGTAGCCATTGCATTCTTGTAAGCCGTCCAATTTTAGAGGGGGACTCTGGCCGGGGCTTCGTGCAAGTTGCACAAAAACTTGGTTTTGTAGAGCGATTTTTGCACAACTGACCGCAACACAACTAGCCACAAAACAGCCGAGGCAAAAAAAAGAGTCCGGGACGAAACTACAGCAAGTTTAAGGGGCCTAGTTAAGTCGCTGAAATTTGGGAGAGATCAAGAAAGGGACGCTTAAATAAAGAGAAAAGAGAGAGAGCCGCGCTCAGTGTTACTGTACCATTTTGATCCGGGCTGCGAGGCTGTTAAGGAGTCCCTCAATAACTCCTTTAGCTCTGGACCTCCGCTCGCCATGAACCCGTCCGCTGATTTTCACATTTCTTCAGCGTTTTTTTCCTCCCCTCCTCTTCTTCCCCTCAGTCTCTTTTTCTTTTTTCGCCGTGCTAGCATTCAGACGGGCAGAGAAATGCAGAGGCTGCTTTTGCAGAAGGAATTGGTGATTGGAGCTCGGGGATCATATGGGCTTTTTTGTCAGAGGTTTTAAAGGGACATCGCACTGCATTACTACGGAGCCCTGCTGATGACGTCCTGTACAAATAAAATAATTACGCCGTATTAACGCGTGGGAACGAGGTCCTAATGCGTGGCCACGTCCTATTAAGGTGTGGGAACGAGATAATTAAGTTGTGGCCATGACTTAATTGTCTTGTTCCCACGCCTTACTAAGTCGTGACCACGCATTATTTTTATTTATACAGAATGTCACCAGCAGGGCTCCATAAGATCCTAATGCGTTACCACGACTTAGTAAGGTGTGGGAACGAGATAATTAAGTTGTGGCCATGACTTAATTGTCTTGTTCCCAAGCCTTACTAAGTCGTGACCACGCATTATTTTTATTTATACAGAATGTCACCAGCAGGGCTCCATAAGATCCTAACGCGTGACCACGACTTAGTAAGGAGTGGGGACGAGATAATTAAGTTGTGGCCATGACTTAGTAAGGCATGGGAATGAGATCGTACCGTATCAAGCTGTGGCCAAGGCTTAATTATCTTGTTCCCACGCCTTACTAAGTCATGGCCACGCATTATTTTTATTTATACGGAATGTCACCAGCAGAGCTTCATAAGATCCTAAGGTGTGACCACGACTTAGTAAGGAGTGGGGACGAGATCCTGATGTGTGGCCGTGACTTAGTAAGGTGTGGTAATGAGATAATTAAGCCTCGACTACTTCATTATCTCGTTCCCATGCCTTACTAAGTTGTGGCCAAGACTTAATTATCTTGTTCCCATGTTTTACTAAGTCTTGGCCATGCATTATTATTATTTATACTATATGTCACCAGCAAGGCATGATCTTGTTCCCACGCCTTACTAAGTCGAGGCCACGCGTTATGATCTCATCCCCATGTATTAAAATGCCATGGCCACGCGTTATTTTTATTATACTGTATATCACCAGCAGGGCTGCATAAGATCCTAATGCATGACCATGACTTAGGAAGGCAGGGGAATGAGATAATTAAGTTGTGGCCATGACTTAGTAAGACGTGGGGATGAGATCGTAATGCGTGACCATGACTTAGTAAGGTGTGGGAATGAGATAATTAAGCCTTGACTACAGCTTAATAAGGCATGATCTTGTTCCCACACCTACTAAGTCATGGTCACAGCTTAATTATATTGTTCCCATGCCTTACTAAGTTATGACCATGACTTAATTATCTTGTTCCCATGTTTTAGTAAGTCGTGGCCACGCATTATTATTATTTATACAGTATGTCACCAGCAGGGCTTCGTAGGTTACCCTGGGCTCCTCAGTAGTTTCTTTTTTTTAGAGAAAAAAGGAAGAGAGGTGAATTTTGTGTTAATAATGAAGATGGTGCGAAGAAAACCTCTTTCTGATGATGTATTTTGAAGGTGGGAAAAAAATTTTGATATCCTACTACAACTGCTTTGAGATGGATTTTTGGAGGTGGGCTGTTTTAATGTTTTTAATTATTATTTTTTTTCTAGCTTGAAACCAGATAGCTAACTTTACTGCTAAGAAGCTGATGTATAACTGCAGTAACTGTCTTTAAAGGTGCAGTGTGTAAGATTTAGGGGGATCTATCAGCAGAAACCGAATATACTATACAAAACCATGTTTTCATTAGTGTATAATCACCTGTAACTGTGATTTCATTAGCTTAGAATGAGTCCTTCATATCTACATCGAGGAGGTCCTCTTCCAACAGAGGCCATCAAGTTTCCACAGTGTTTGCCCTGAATAGACAAACCAAACACTGGCTCGAGAGTGCCTTTTGCATTTTTTCGTAGAAGTAGTAGCTTGAATTTGGTGGCGCTATAGCACCGATTGGAAGATATACAACCTTGTTTCCAAAAAAGGTGAACTTGGTGCCAGCAACTCGTTTCACAAAAGTTGGGACAAGGCAACAAAAGACTGGTAAAGTTGTGTAATGCTAAAAAAACACTTGGTGGTTAATTGGCAACAGGTCAGTTACATGATTGTGTATAAAAAGAGCTTCCCAGAGAGGCTGAGTCTTTCAGAAGTGAAGATGGGGAGGGGTTCACCACTCGGTGAAAGACAGGTGAGTGGGCAAATAGTGCAACAATTCAAGAATAATGTTTCTCAACACATTATTTAGCACAAGAAAAAGCGAGGGAATAAATGCTTAATGACAAAGAAGCAAAAACATGAAGCAAGACGAAATCAGGACAGGCGATGGCAGAAAACCTGACAGCCACCGTAGTTTCTACTACACAGGCTTGGAAAGGGTGGATTGAGGGAGGGGATATATAGTTAGTTGCAATCGGCAACCTCACTACTAGATGCCACTAAATCTTATATATTGCACCTTTAATGGAGAGAATGGTTCATTCAAATGATAAAAATTACTCATCAGATGAGGAGGACAACAAGCTAAAAGCTAAAATTAGCAAGGTAGTTTCCTAGCTATTGAAATGCCTCAGTGTGGCTTCTTTTCTCTGACTGAAAAGGTAAAAAACTGGTCTTTGGTGTCCATTTTCTTTATAATTTTGCATGTTGCAGCCCCCAGAGCAGCTCGGGGCCAAAAGGTGGTCCAAGGAATTCACAGAAGACCAGGATAAGGTCAAATACACCATGCCTTGTGTCCACTCAGGTATGAAACGAGGAGCCCTCCAGCTTTACTGTGTCCCAGTTCCTGATGTGAAGGCCAAAGCAAACTGAACCACTGCTGTCTCTAAACTGTTCGATCTACATTAAATGGGAGTTTCTGTATAATTACATGATTAAGAAGCAAACAAGGCCAGATTTGTTCAAGCAGTGTTGATAGGAACCAGACATCCAACAAGCTTAAAGCCTTAAAAAGCTATAACATTAAAAGCTTTATTTTTTTACCATTATTAACATTACATATAAAAACACAGAAAAAATCATGTAGGTTCACTGCTGGTTTCAGAATAGTAAGTAAATTGGTTTTGTCTGTATTGTTGACATTATGACCCCTGGTTCCTACACTGCAAAGAAATCTGAGTAAGTAAATTTCTCTACAATTAACCTTTCACATCAAACTGCTCTGAATTACTGTTTACATCTCTACAATTTTGAATAAATCACTGGACTTTCCATTTAAAAGTTACATTTTCTTCCAGGACTGGTTCAATTACATCAAATGATTTCACCAGGAGACAGACATGATTGTGTAGTGGAAATCACTGCATGGGCTCAGAAACACTTCTGAAAACCACTGTGTGGGATCATAGCTTGTCGCTGCATCCATAAATGCAAAATTAAAACTGTCATGCAAACAAGAAACCATATATATATATACACAGGATTCAGAAACGCCGCTGCCTTCTCTGGGCCCGAGCTCATTTACATCAAATGATTTCACCAGGAGAGACATAGATGGCACCAGGAACATGTGCTTCAGACAATGTACATTCACCAACAAAGTGATCTGGCAACTTTTATTACCTTAAGCTTGTAATTCTGTATCAATAAGCAGTACAAGAACCATTCGTATCAGGGAAGAGCAGAATAAGCTGAACCCGTTTTAGAATTTTTGTCTTTATTATTTATCATGCCAAAAAGTATTTTCATATAAAAAAGAAATTACAGTTTTGAAGATGTTATAACAAGAAAAAAAAACATAATTCACCTAAATGTTGTAAACTAATCTTGACGGTCAATTTAAAATTCTATCTACACTTCTTTAAAGAAATGAAAGTGGCTTATCTTACTTATTGACAGAAGCTATCCTGTTCTCCCTTACAACAGGATGGAAAAGATGGCAGATTTCACACTCAGGAAAAGAGAATAGACAATGGAGCCCAAATATTCCAAGCACATCTCATCCTATTGCTCTAAAACAAAATTCTCTTTGAATAGTAATATTTCAGTGGTTTTCTGATAGAAGAATCTTCTAGTGTAAAGGATCCATCCATCCTGAATTTGATGTTTAGTATAATGTAAGTCACAAGTGTGAATTCAAAGCAGAAGGGCTGCATAAAATACTTTTTATACATTCATATATGTCCTATGTTGTTTGAAAAATAAAAAATATTTTGTTAAAAAACATAACAGTTGTTAGAATTCAACAGTATATAATGACATACTCACACTGTAAATATTTACAAGTCAAAAAGAATAAAAATACCTGGTTTCAAAATTGCAAAAAAAGAGATAAAGGAGGCTCTGGTATAGCTTCAACTGCTGAACAGAAACAAGATTCATCTGAAAATATATTTCCCAAAACTCTTCTCAGCTGTATCGACTGCTTCGACTTCCACGCCTTGAAGAACTGCGACTATAGGAGTGAGAAGACCTACATGACAAATACAAAAACACACACATATATATAATTTCATCCTCATCTAAGAGGAATTTCAAATATCAAACAAATAGCAAATTTTTAAATATTCAGTAAAACATGTTAATCATCAAAAGCAAAAAAAGAAGCATAAATTGCGTTCAGACAACTCACCTGGACCTGTGGTCCGAACTTCCACTTCGTCTGTGTCGCCGCCTTCTACTATGACTGCGACTGCGGCTGGAATAGCTGTCATAAGTGTAGGATCTGAATTTTTACAAAACAAAAACAGCACAAATTAGCATAAGTACAAATTATTTACATGAAACTGCAAACAAGAGTATGCGCTGCTTTACTAACCTTGACCTTCGGCGACCCCTGGACCAACTTCTGGAACGACTTCTACTGTATGTATGACTAGAGGAGAAAAGAAAAGAAGGAATGAAATGAATCAATGTAGAAATGCAAAGGGCCATTAAAAAGATCTAAGATGATCCTGACGCTGCATTTACACTGCTGCGGCGTGTCAACGCACTGCAACGTAACCTATTTTAAAGGGGAACCGCTGGTTTCATCAGATGTGGCTGCGCAGTGCATGATGGGTCCAGCGCGTCAAGTTTGTGGGTATGTGATGTAATCGAAAAGTTGAACTGAGTTTAACTTTATGCAAATTTTATGCATCGCCAAACGCAATGCGTCTACTCAATCAGGTCTGCAGCTCAAGGCACTAAACGCTGGTTCCTTTGTTTTGAACATGTGTTGTTTGGTTTTATAAAGATCTCCTCAAACAAGGCAGATAAATACTATATAATCAATCAATCTTATTTTACTGCTAGCTAAATTCCATATTCATAAATCTACGTATTCAAGTCAAAAAGCTGTTTTAATTTTATTTATTAAGGAAGCCAAACAATACTAGAAAACAAGTGACGTGTAGCAGTGTAAACGCAGTGTGACTGCACTTACAGCTAATGGATCCCTCTCACACATTAGCTCACACAAACAACAGTGCCAGTGTCTATACAAGCACAAACGCAGCTACACAGCTTTTAGCGTCTACAAGTTGAAAGTGTAGAAAAAAAAATGGCCATTTTGTAGTAGTTGATCTTGACAGCTGCACTGTGAAGAACCTGCAGATGTTTTATGGTTCTGTTGAAAAGAAATTGTCTCAGAAAAGCAACAGGCCCATAGGCAAAATCTTAATTTAAATGTTTAACATTTTAATTGGATGTCCATTTTGAACTGTATCTAACAGTACAAGACTCAAATAGCACGTGCACCTAATCTTGCCTCTCTGGCTTTCATCCATTGCCAGCCTTCTTCTACTTCCTATTTGACATTTCATGGTATTGCTGCCACCAACTGGACTGGAGCACTATTTTGGCCAAGAATGACCAAACATCATAAAGAGCACAAATAAATTACAATAGTAAACTAAATACAGCTGTATGCAGCCCTCGTCAACTGACACACCGTTGATCAAATGACACACCCCTGGTTGTTGATTCTGTAAGTGAAAACAAGTGAACACATCCTCTATGTAAGGTAAATATGGCTTTTTTTCTGCGAATTTTAGTGCACAAGGTCTATTTATTCACAATGTTTAACATATTGGAAAAAGAACACAAACAGGAAAAGTGCCATAATTTTTACACAGGTCACATTTTATGTACTATCCTGTTTCCCTAATATGTTAAATTCATCAAATAAACAGTCTTTGTCCATTAAAATGTGCATTAGTGTGTGCTCTGTAGAGGATATCTTAACTTATTTTCACGTAGCAAATCCACAAAACATGGAACTTGACCACACAATTTGGCACACAAACCTTTAATTTTGTCCACATTCAAATTATTTTATCATTCTTAAGCCGCAGTGCCAACAGGTACAGATGTGTTAACATGTACAACTGTCAAATGATTCAAAGATTTATTCACATTGTTTTGTGTAATTAACCATGATTAATGACTTTGGTCAGAAAAAAAGTAATGAACCTCTGAATATTTAAAAAGCAGTTCATTTTGTTACAGCTGTATAAGTGGGCAAAATAAGCTTCATCAGAATGTATTTATTACATTCAATAATTAAATAACATTTGCACTGTGATGAACACAGACTTCACATGAACCATTAACATCACCAATGTCCAATGAAAGCAATAGTGGCCAATGTGTGTTTATTTCATTTATATCATATATACGGTCAATGGTTCCACCTCCTCAACGACTGTAGTCCTCTTGCTCTTGTTCATTTGTTTTGTCACAATGGAGGCTCTCCAACTGTAGCTTTCCAGTTTGCTATTGCTACTCAGCACTGCCCAGCATCATACATTAGGGGGCAACATTTACAGATTTTATCATATCAACATACAAAGTGCATGCAGCTGGGTTTCAGCCTGCACCAGGGGCATTGGCTGGGCATGTAAAGATCTGAGGCTCAGCCCAGTTCACTGTAGGATTGTTTTGGGATACTGTCCCATAAGCAGCTGCTACTTGTTTTATTCAATATAACAATTTGCCCATGAACAAAATGTGCAGCAATTCAGCAATGTTTGTTGGATCTTATGAACAAAATCATTCAAAAAATATATTAACATTATAAGGTTCAGGGCTATAACCCTGGAAGCCCAGTCCCTGGCCTGCACTACAATGTTTTGAAGGGCCAAACTAGGATTAAAAAAAAAGCCTGTGCCATTAATTATTTATCACGTTAATCCATTAACAAGCATACCACAGTGGCGACATCATTCGCACTTACCTGCGATAGCTATGGTAGCTACTACTCCGAGAACGAGAACGCTCTCTACTGTATCTTCTTCTGCTTCTACTTCTACTGTAGCTCCTGTGAGGACAGAGATACAATCTCAAGAACAGCTCACCATACACTGCAACTGATGGAACACATTCTTAAACTCATGTAGCATTTTGTAAATCCTTAGCACAAATACTTATGTATGTTAAATGAAAATAACACTCAAATCTTGCAACCATATATACCTGGAAGAATAGCTGGAGCTTCTGGACCTACTCCTGGAGAAGGTGTATGAATGAGACCTGCCTCTACGTCGAGACCTGGGACTGGACACAGAACGAGACTTGCTCCGAGAGTGTTTGTGTGATGCAGGTTGCTCTCCCGTTGCAGAAGGAGGGTCTTCTTCACTGGAACTGTCTTGATTTCTGGGCCGCTGGTTTAATCGAGCAGTTTTCCGCACTTCGTCAAAAAGGGACCCCGGCCGGACCCGGCTTTTGCTCTTGATCTCAATCTTGAGACCTTGAGTCTTGCCCTCAGCTTGCTGTGCCTTGTTAACTTTCATAACTAGAGGACCTGCACTGACTGTCTGTACTGGAGTCATGCCCTTTAAAGGCTTCCATTTGGTATCAACTGGTACAGCAACATTTCCAGATTGCGTTTCTCCTGGTTGATTGGAATGAGTTACAACAGATGGTGTTGTAACTAAGGCTTTTTGATCTATCTGAGGTGGATTGCCATCCTTAGCAACAGTTTTCAAGTCAAGTCCTGGTGGTTCTGTGTTGGTCTCTGGGGTACGCGCCTCTGTATCATCATGATCTTTCTGTCGGTCTTGGGCATGTTGTGCTTTAGCATTTGAGTGACTTGAATTGATCTGCGGATCTTGTGCTGTTTTTTTTCGCTACCTGAATATTTAGCCTCAGTTGCTGGCTTTTAGGCATGTTCATAGAATAAGAGGCTTCCACAGCTAAGCACTGTTCTTTAGATGAATCCTCGCTCACATTCTCATGATCCTTGTTTTTAAAATCTTGAGATTTCATCTGCGTAACCTTTACTGATCTTGTGGGTTCTTCCTTGACAGTACCTTCCTGTCTAAGGTCTATATGCTTCACCTGAGCAAGTGAATCATCCTCCTCCCCTTCATCACCAAACTCTAGAGGAGGCTGCCAGTGAAATGTCTCCTTTGGCTTTTGGTGCTTCTTCTTGGACTTTTTGGTTTTGGTCTTCAATCGATGAGAGCCAGACCTGTCAGAGTTTCTCCTCTTGTGCTTGTGCTTCCGCTTGGCCTTCTTGCTCTTGTGCTTTTCTGCCTTTGTATACTCATCAGAATGTTCCTCGCTGCTTTTTAATTCTTCTGATACCCTGGAGACTTGGTTTGGTTTGTTGCACGGCCCTGCAGGTGCTTCAGTTTCAGATTCTGAACTTGCTTCCCCCTCTTCCTTGTCTGACACATGTTTAGTTTCACTGACCATAGTCTTTGATTCTGGCATTTCAGACTCACTTTCAGACTCCCAACAGCGTGCCAAAATCTCCTTCTTTTGCGTTTCAGAAAGTCCAACTTCCTTTTTAGAACAAATTTGAGTCGCATTATGCACATCAACAGAGCTCAGTTTGCTCAAATTATCCCCATCACTTTCCCATCCGGATCCAGTTTTACTCTTTTTAAGAACAATATGTGAGGTTTTGTTTACATTGAGATTCTTTGCTCGATCTGTCTTACAGGCAAAATCTGACACTGGATCTAGTGCATTTTCCTGTACCTCAGAACTATTGTGCTGGTTGATGGGACTGTGCATAGCGTCAGTTTCGTCATATGAGTGAGGGGGAGATGCATCTTTTTTGGCATGGCTATGTACTACATTCTTGGCTCTCTTTCGGCTCTTTCTAAGAGATCTATGATGACGTTTCCCCCTCTTCTCCGAAGACCTTTTCCTATATGAATTATGAGAGTCTGACCTGCTGGAAGAGGAGGAAGAAGAGGAAGACCTGTGGTTGTACTGGCCAGGTGACATGGACTGATATCTTGAGTGACTCCTGCTTCTCGATCGACTAGATGATTGACTTCTGGATGATCCTCTTTGTAGGAGATCATCAGGTTGCTTGCTGTTAGCACCATGTTGCCTCGCACTATTGGGATCCTCCATCTGACTCTGAAAGGTGGACAGAGGTTCCCTCTCAAGATCCACACCTGGTGTTCTGCTTTCAAGATGATGAGAAGTGGAGTCTGTCTTTGCCTTGATCTCTTGGATCCGGACATAAGAGGGTTTCCAGGGCTTCTGTCCTGGTTTCCATCGAGATGGTGGCGGGCTGTCACTCAAAGGCAGCACAGGGGCCCCCTCAGAAGAAGATGCTGGAGGTGCTTTGGATTCTACAGTTTGAGCAGTGGTGGGTAAAGTTTTGTTAATTTTCTGTGTACTGCCTTCATTCAGCTTTGCTCGTTTAGGGGATCTTGATTTTCTCCTGTAATGTGGGGATGGAGTCCTGTACCTGGACCTAGATCTGCTCCTGGATCTTGTCCTATACCCAGACCTAGAGCGAGAATGTGACCTGGATCTTGTAATAGACCGTCCAGATCGACTCCTAGACCTGGACCTTGAGGAGGATCTAAACCTACTCTCAGACCTTGAGCAACTTCTGGAATAGGACCTGCCTCTCGAACCAGAATAAGACCGGGTATCTCTAGATGAACGTGATGAGGAGTGCCTCCTGTTTGACCCTGATCTATAAGTTCTACGTGAGTGGCGTGAAGTGGATGGAGAGCGAGAGCGTGAATAAGATCTCCTCTCAGAATGGCTGGAGAGTCTTGACCTCCTACTAGACGACATAGACCTCTCTCCCTCTGAAAGTGAAGCCTCTTTAAATTTGTTCTTTTTATGTTTCTTTGAATGTTTCCGTTTCTTTGCCTTCTTCTTTCGTTTGGCTTTTTTCTTTTCCTTCCTGTGTCGGTGGTGTTGGATAGAATGGTCTGAGCTCTGACCTGAAGAACGCTCTCGGGACCTTGACCGCGACCATGGGGTGTCACTTCTATCATCCCATCTGTTAAACAACAGTCATGAGTCTTCATCATTATTCTTTAATCCAACATTAATACATACAAGCTAAGACTTGAACTTTGTAAATTGTCATCATTTTAAGTCATACTTTTATAAGTAACTTGAAACTGATTCCCATTTGACTTGACTTAGCTATAGCAATATACATGCCCCATAGTTATTAGTTAAAAGACAACTAATGGCTTTAGTTAACAGACAAAAATGTATTATTTAACCAAGCGCTAGTTTAATCTGTATACAGAAGAATTAAAAGCTTTACTTTTCTCCTTTGCTCCATTTCTCTACACTGGGAGGCTGGTAAGTCTTTGTTCTCTGCATCTCCTCTTTCCAGTGTGGAGGAGTCTCACTGCTCCCTCTTTCTTCCTCAGACTCAGACCGGGACTTTGACCGAGGAGGGGTATGGTATCTCTGCAGTAAAAAAAAATCATCCAGGCTCACTGACTGAAGTATCACCTGCTATACAGACAGTGACTCCCTTTATTCTCTCACACTTTCTCCATACATCTTAAATCGCTCTCATCACCTTGGGTCCAGGGAGTTAACACCAAAGGTTTGTGTTTGTGGAAGCTGAAAATGAATCTAACAGTTCAAAATCAAACAGAAGCAGTAAAGGTAAATATACTAGAGGCTCAAAAAAGGATACTCAGAGAGGAAAAACAGAGTAAGAGAAAGAAAACAGCAGATTTTACACTGTGTCTAGACTCCGTCTTTGGTGAAACTCATTAAAACAACAACATTAGGGGGATGAACACTGTGAGGTGTCTTTTTTCTATTATTTTCAATGGGAGACACATGTTTTGCATAAAACGTGATGAGCCCCATGCATCTATCTTTTGTGTGGAGCACTCGATGGCAGGAGCTGAAAAAAATTCAACCTGAAGCAGTCAAGCAGCCTATGTCCTTCTGTGCTGACCTGTCAGATCAAAAGGAAAGTCGGCCTTCAGTAAGGACCGAAGTCCCTGAACGGTTTGATTAATTAGCAAAATTAGCAACACTAATCAAAACTGTTTTTGTCTAAACACTCGCCAGTTAATAGTAGATCACCTTCTAAAAGGGAAAGTGCCAGAGCTTTCCACCTGCACATATTGAAACGACAGCTAGGTAGCAAAGCAGACTGACAGTTACGATATGATACTGTTGCCGCTTAGCAACAGTGAGACACACAGCCACAAGCAGTGTTCCAAAATGCATTTTTTGACGTCCAGAAAAACACAGTGTGAACCCCCTTGATTCTTTCTTTCTGTCTCTCGTAACTGTTTGGGACAGGTCATACCATGGTCCCACGGCCTTTGAGCTTCCGCCCTGATTTTGTGACAGCTGGCTTGGGGTCACTGGGGGCTGTTGCTTTCTCCTGTTCAGTCCTAAAATAAAAAAGTCAAGGCAAGATAACAAGAGTGAGAAAGCGAGAAATGTAACCAATTTACCATGAAAAAAGAAACATTGCACATTTTCTATTTTAAATGTTGCCTCCTTATTGCCCTGCTGAGTGCTATACTAAAAGAGGCTCACAGGTCAGCTGTCTCTTCCTGGACTGGCATGTCTCGACGGAGCAGGAAGCGGTTCTCTGGCACAGGCGGGATCTCCTCTGGTCGAACCACAGGTTTCTCTCTCTTCACATTCTGCTCCTTCTCTCCATCCTCTTCCTCTGCCATCTCTCGCTCAGCAGGGCTGTGGAAGGGCCAGCAAAGCATATAGAACAAATTTAGTACCCTGAATGAGCTCTAGAACCAGTGAAGATAAAAAATTGGAAACAAACACCAACCATTTTTGAACTGTCCTTTTTTCATGCCGTTTCTCATTCTTCTCTACATCTTTCCTTCTCCTCTTTGAGTGTTTGCTCTTGGAGCTGGTTTTCTTCTTTCGGCGCGTATACTTTTCATCAGATTCTTCTCCAGACTCAAATGAGGAGTAGTGTGACTCTGAAGAACTCGGCGAGTCATCCTCAGAATGGAAAACCTTCCCTCTTCTTGCGTTCCAGTACTTCAGAAGACATCACCAATATTAACAACAACAAAACACCCAACAGCAAGTCTAGCAGTGATTAGATACATTTTGTTTTGATCCTTTTTCTGTAGGCACTGCACACAACATAAACAGGCATATTCCAAAAGGGTGTATTATCAATTGTATCTTTTCTTCTGAAAGCTGTTTTCATTGTGTGATGTCAACCCTGCATTACTAAGGTAATTAGGTTCTCTTTAGTAAGGGACGTCTATTTGTTTGACGACACAGTTCCATGTATAGTGTCAGAAAAAAAAGGTACTGTAAAGGTGGATTTTTGTAAATTCACGAAGTCCAGACCTCAAAACCACTGAATGTGTTTGGGATTAACTGGATTGTGACAAGCTGAAAATGCAACCAACTTCTAAGACTGAACTTCCGAGGTGTGGGGAAAAAAAATCCCTGCAAATTTCTTTGACAAACCGAAAGCAAACCTCCCAAAAAGAATGTAAGCTGTAATAACAGCAAAGAGCAGATACACCAAAACATGGATATTATATGTAGTTTTTGGAAACTAAATAAATGAAGGGTGTTCTCTGACTTTTGCACAGTACTGTATGTTCCCTAAGTAAAGATATTTAAGATATACCATTGAAGGTAACACCTCGGTTACAGTACTTGTATCCAAGGTTAACAAAAAGTATAAGGGACAATCTTACCATCATTAGCAGATTTTGTAATCAGCTGTCCACAGTCGATCACTCTGACATCAGCGTAGGGTCTGCTGGCAGAGTCAGTCTTCAGGCCCTCGATTCTTTTTATTACTTCAAAACCAGAGATGACCAGCCCGAAGACCACGTGAACTCTACATTTAAATAAGACGAGATGTGCTCAACATGAAACATCAAGTGATAGTATTCTTCAGTCGTAATCAAATAAACAACTGTGCTTTCTGTCAATGAAGGTAAAATTACCCATCAAGATGTGGTGCTGGTTTGGTAGTTCTGTTTTTGGAGAAATGACATTAAGAAAGCCACACGAGATCAGTCGATACATGTAAAAAAGAGAGAGAAAGTGGAGACCAATTTAAAGCTAAGGAAAACACAAGTCTCACAGCTCATGTGCAGTCAATCATCAAGTGGAAAACTGGCTCTACACACAACAGGCACCATAATATCTTTCTTCAGAGAGTGAAACAATCACAACCAGCACAGTTTACACAGTATAAAAAGCTTGACAATTATTCCTAATTCATGATGGGTGGTGTAACTGGTATATTTGAACCAGTATGCAAATAAATATTATCCATACCTCCTTGCAGACACTACAGGGTACTAGGAACGTAACTCTACGCTTTTTCACAATAATAAAAATGAATGCCACTTAATAGTAGAGGAAATAAACAATCCAGCAGTGATCCTAAACATCACTGCTATTGGAAGTCTCATAAAACTGTCAGCAGTTAAGAGATCAAGTCTCAATTTCTCAACATTAGGAGGGAAAGGTTTACCAAACTAAACATACATTAATCCAAAAATAAGACGTGGCAAATACTAGCAAGAACAATCAGAAATACAGTCAGGAGAGAGAAGCACAGCCTTGGAGAGACACTTTACCTTGGTAGAGCAGGATGCTAGAGTTTCTGCAAATTTTACACAAAAACGGCAAGAGAAAAATTGTAATACATTTGTAGGCAAAAAAAGGAGTCCAAGATTTTTTTTTTGTAATATATTTCTAAACACACTGACAAGGGAAAGAAGAAATGATGTTGAGGGCACCTGCATCACACATATATACCGTATGCAGTGTCGCCAAAAGAAATTAGAGAGAAAAAAAAAGGACAGAAGGATATTTGGCAATGTTACAGCGTGAAAACATACAGTAAGACTTATGCCTTTCTAATGGGATGCAAGATTGAGTAACTTCTCCATTGCACTAGGTTTCCAGTAAGTCACCTTTAAAATTAAGCCCAAGGATCAAGTGAAATTTCATTGATTTTTCAAAATTTCTGCATAATTCAATGGTTGAGATGTAAACAACGGCATTCAGAGTGGTTTGATATGAATTGGTGCACTGTAGAAAAACTTACTGAAGATTTTCTTTACAGTGTTGGTGATAGGAACCGGGGTCGCAATGTTCACAGTGCAAATATAGTCATTTTATTTGGTACTGAAAATGAACAGTACAGTACAGCATATGTATACTATAAAAAATGGTTCATCAGTTCAAACTAAAAAATATATATTTCATGTAACAAGTAAATGAACTAGTTTTATTAAACTTAAATGGTTAATTAAATTTTTAGTTGAAAAATATTTTTGTTACTACATTAAGTATTTTTAGGTTGAACTGACAAACTACTTTTACGGAGTATCTCTCTCTCATGAACATATTTTAAAAATGAAATTTTATGGCAAAATTTTATGCCTCAAAACTGTTCTAAAACAATGTCTCAGGCATCAGGCAGCTTTTCATCGAATATCTTTCTGTGATGTAGTTTTCAGAAGCATTACACACTTCAGACGTTTGGTTCCTGTCACCACCACTGTGAACGATTCTGACAACATACGTTTCGCCTGAACAGCACATTTCACATCAAATCACTCTGAATGACTTTGTTTACATCTTAATGAATGAATTATGATGACTTTTCCCTTTAATGAAAATGGGAAAGAAAACTATGACTCCTAGTTCAGGAGCCCAGATGTTTCATACGTGCGTTGTGTGATACTGATGCTGCACTAAGAGCTTTTTCAACGAGTGAAAGCAGCGTTTTCCATAGAGGCCATCATACTGTGTATTAAATAAACAAATAAATTCACGCTACATACAAAATGTGCCATTTAATACTGACCAGTCCGTCACATTAAATGGTAAGCAAACAATCTGGTGATGCACATTTACATGAATGATGTTTCAACCTCACTCTTTCTCTCTCCCCCTCTATACTTAAGTTATACTCACATGAAAAACTGGGAACCGTTGGTGTCTTTGCCGCGGTTGGCCATGGACAAGAGGAATGCTCTGTCATGTTTGAGAATAAAGTTCTCATCTGTTGGAGAGAGATACGGACAAAGAGAAGAGACTGAGTGCTGGCCAACTGCTTTATTGGCTGAGTTTCTGAGGAAAGGGATTCAAACAAAGAGCAGTCTTCCCTCTGACATCAGTGTTACTGCAGTCTCCATGACAAAAGCTGACTAAGGTACTTTTATTGTACGAGTAAGCTGGAAGGCTACAGGGGAAAAAAAACTCTACATGATGATGAGGGTCTCTAATTTTGGATAATTTTGCATTCTGAAGTGCTGTAAACTAGTTCATGTGAAAAACAATGTGTGCGCAATGTTTTTCAACCTAAACTCGATCTCCAACATCTCCATCATACTGTTGATTATCATGGACAATAAGTTTGACGCGTTTCCATGTATCAGGAAAAAACAGAAACCCTGTTGACCAGTAATGGGCAGTATACTGGTTCAGCCGTTTTGTCATAACCGTCATACTGTTTACCACAAATAGGCAAGATAACGCAACAAACAAGCCGTGCAAACCATGCTAATGCTAGCTCACTTAGCTGAGCGCCTGAGTTATGGGTGTCTTAGCCACGTTTTAAATGTAAATGAAAATCAGTAGACCCTCGATCACCTCCTGCTGTCTTGTCCACTGCATCTGAAGCAGTCCACTTTGTTTTCGAGCCAGTGGACATAAAGAAACGGCTGGTCTTTTGCGGTCGAACTTGAGAAATTACTAATGGAATTCAGCAGCTGCTCATTGGCTTCTTTTATAAGTTTTCTGAGTCAACAAGGTTTTGCATCAGTGGGTTGTAGTTATTGTCAGGGGTAATTATTTTCAACTGTATGCTACAGATGCAACAGACAGAGATTAGGCTGAAACATGCTGGAGTATGTTTTTAGTGTTTAATCTTATAAGCAGCAAAATATACTGCCTCTGGCACCCCGTCCGGATTTGTCTGTAATTTGTAATTTCTACGAGCTTGCTACAAATAAAAAGGCACAGCTGACTAAGCCTGAAGAGAAAAGATAAGGCAAATAAAATCCAATGAAACTCAAGAGCTCAAGAGTCAGGACATTCATGTGTGCACTGCAGACACTTAAACCCTGGGTCATATTACGGAGGGAAGGAGGGGAGACAGTGTTTAGATTGTGTTACTGCACTGTGCACATCTCTTACCTTTTCATTTTGCAAAAGACCACAATCTCTATAAATAAAAGAATATGTTGAAAAATTTAGGCAGGAAGAGTCTGGATTTTTCAATAAAGAAATATCCCTAACCTCCATGCTGAGTCAGAGAGAAACCCATTGTAAAAAATTACAGAAACAGAAGTCAGTAAAAGGACAACCAAAACTACAGAAGTAGAAATAATGTCTATTCTCCATGCATGAGCTGCTCATGCAAACTCTTGTTCATGCAGTACATAAAACAAAAAAAAATGTTTATAAGAAGTAGAAGGGGAGGGGTTTAATAAGGCTTTATAACTGTTTACCTTCAAAGTAGCCTCCGTATATGGACTCTCCTCCTCTTCCGTTGCCTGAGCAAATCAAAACATAGGCTTCATTTGCAGACACAGAACCCTTGTATATGTTTACTAGAAAAGCATTTGTATGCACTTCTGGAAACCAAAGGCATCCTGAGGTATCATTTTTGAAATGGCATTTTATATCATATTAATAAAACATTAACTTGTAAACGTTTAACATACCTTCGGTGAAATCTCCCCCTTGGATCATGAAGTTCTTAACTACTCGATGGAATGTAGAGCCTTTGTAACACAATTTTTTCCCTGTAGTTTTTCCAGTGTCCTTTTCACCTGCAAACAAGTGAAATAATTAGATTTCAGTAGTTTCCTCTCAATCTTTAAGTGATAATGAACTTGGTATAAGAATGTCCTTTGTATCCAAATAGACCACTGTAGTCGTGCGTCATTCTGTAATCGACGTTCCGCTCATATTAGGAGCTCCAGGTCTAAGCCTGATTTCTCTACGGACAGAATGAAGGTTGTTTTGGAAAAATCGCCTCTATTGTGCCCTGTGTTAAATAAAAATGTTCAGAACCTGATCTGTTTTGTCCTGTGGATATTTTTCTCCTGACTATCACTGAATCACGAGGTTGTTAAAGAGTCTTAATAACGATATTGCTACATGCAAGCCAAAGTCACCGTGCTTTAATTTGATGTCCCTAAGCTACACAAAAGTAAGGCGGGCTGTGGTGGTGCTCTGACGAGTTGCGCTACCTTACCAAAATGTCCTACCGTTGCACATATTCATAGGTATACCCATTAATAAAACCTCTAGGTAGGATATTTTGATAGCCTACAACTCCTTATCACAAATACTACCAGTGTTAAATCAACAAGGCTGAATTTAGCTGCTTTTGCACCAGCTTCTTGTTCAACGTTCCCTGCTCCACCTTAAACGGTGCAGCAGTACATTAGCAAACGGGACAAAACAATACTGACCTGTGAAACCAACAACTTTATAATAATTCAAATTCAGAGAAGGTCAATTTTAACCATTTTTAATCAAGTAATCATGACTCATAATTGTCTGATAAATGTTGTGAATTCATATTTCATTTTAAAACATCCTGAACACAAGATGAAGAACAGGACATCTAATAATGAGTGTAACAATGCATTGCGACAATGAAATAGCAATGCAAAACTCTGACAATGTGTATTGTGGAGGGCATTTTATTAATTACGACAATAAATAATGCTACTGCATTGTTTGAACACCAAAGTTTGCAAACTATCAGCACCAATGAATAACTCTCTCCAGCACTGCGCCACCCGCTCCAGAGTCGCTAGTAAGTTGTGAAACCTGATTACAGACATAATTTTTTTCATTCAGAATTTGTTCACAATATTGAACAGTGAAAATACTGAATCCAGAACCCAGAATTGTGACTCGACTTGAATTGTGGGCTGAGGGTTTTACTGTTACATCCTTGAAGCTTAGTAGTAAAGACAGACACTGTTTTGAAGCCAAAAGTCAGTAGGCTAGTTTCACCTTCCTAACTAAAGTCACAGTCCCTTCCTTCAACTGGAAAATGATCTGTGTATTGATCAAATGATCAATTCAGGAACTGTGTTTTGAAGTCCAGTACACACCCTCTTCATAGAGTGCAGGCACAGATATCTGCCCAAAATGCGATTCGTCTCTCAGTGCTGTCAGCAAGACACTGCTTAAGGCGCAACACATATTGTGTTGCTTTACTCAGGATGAGTTCTGCTGGAGTCTTTTACAGTGTGAACATTTCTGCAATCCATGTTGCTGTACAAGCCTGATTCACCAAATCTGATTGTGCCAGTATAGATATTATATTTCATGGAAATTAACATTTTATGGTGAGGGAAAGACTTTTATAGTGACTTCATTATAAATTTAAAGCCTGAAGCATTTTCTGTCTGTCAGTCTCTCTATCTTCTTTTAAAAGGGCCCATATCCTCTATCTGTACTATATTTTATCCCCCCCCCCGGTTTAAGGTGCTTATATGGTTCTGTTTACCAAAAACAGTTGGAATTCATTTCAACGTGACCATTTTCCAATTTCTCTTTATTACGTAGAGTTAAAAAAGCAGCTTTTGTTAGTGTACTTTTAAGACTGATACATGATTGCTGTTGAATAAAACTTTGTATCTCCAAAAAGTAACTGTACAGGAGAAAAAAAAACATTCTGACGTTACTATGTAAGCTAATCAAGATTTAGGACACTTTCTATTGGTCAGTCATGAAATTTTGACAGTGTCATGACAGCTGGCATTTTCAAATTACATGAAAAATTGACAAACATCAAAAATTGAGATAAAAGATTTTGCTTTGACAGGGACAATGTGGCTCTGACTGTGCCTCATTCAAAAAGCAGTCTGGTCTGAAACACTTCATTACTTCAACATGAATGTGTGGCTTGCTGTAGGTTAAATATGCAGCTATAAATATGTTGCTTTTTTGTGACATCACAAAAGCAATCAACCCAAAATGATGTGGACTGTATGTATGTTTTGAAACTAAATGTTTAAAAGTATGTCAAAAAAGAGAGGGAAACAGGGTTTTCTATGATAGAGACCCTTAAATGGATCTATCTTGCGTGTAGATAGCAATGCTCACGTAAAAACTAAGCGCACTTCAGAAAAAAAGGCTTGTTGCTGCTTATAATATGTACATACTTACCAGTACATAAGCAGAGGAAATTTTTGCTTGTCTTTGGACAAACGTCAGAGAACAGCTGAAAGACAATGCGTCCAACTAGAACCAAGGAAAGAAAGAAGGTATAATTACATCCTTAATAATAATAATAATAATAATCCTTATTTATATAGTGCCTTTCATACATTAAAAATGAAGCTCAAAGTGCTTTACAATACAAAGTAAATCACTAAAGGAAAAAGAGAAAAATATTCAAAAACAAAAAAAACAAATAATAAAATTGCAGAAAATAAAAGCAATAGCAGAAAAGGGGATATATTAATAATTAAATTTAAAATGCACAAAATAAAAGTATAAATAAAAATACAAGAAAAATTACAAGAAAGCAAAAATAAAAGACAATATAAGTCTATATACATCCATATAACTTCTATAATAGTATTTGATAGAAATACACTATGGCTAAGTGGAGCCATAGGTCATTTCAGCATGTAGGTAACAGCTGTTAAGTCTGTTTCAGTGTGGCAACAGGCAACACCCTATTGCTACTTTGGAATATGTGGGGGTATTCAAATTACAAAGGTCATTCCATGTTAAATCACTAGGGCTCAACACCACCTATCACAGGCCTGCAAGCCTCTACATATACAGTGAGGTTCAATGCACTGTTTGTTCATTGGTTAAAAAGAATAAAGCTTTTCATTCCCTGAAAGTTTGCCTTTTTGTGTTCAATGATTACCTCAGGTATTATGAAACTGACAAAGAAGTCAAGATGAACTACCAAAATCTGAAAATAAAGGCCCAAAGGCAACATATGTACTCATATCATTAATGCCATTATTAGTAATTAATGACTAATGACACAATTATGTAAAATGTGCTATGAGAAACTGAATACAAATCTTGAAAATAATGATCTCTTGAAAGGAAACATAAACCACCCCAGTTTTCAATGTGATCCATCAACCCAGCTGGACTAATCTAGTGCAATTATTGCAAAAGGCTGCAGTTAATGCATTTCATTTACCTACTGCATCACAATACGGTTTTTTTAGGACAGTCCTCTATAAAGGGTCTGTAAATGCTCAGATATAATTTAAATACTTGTTAAATAAATGAGGTCAGGGTTATGGTTACAATTAGGATTAGGCTTAGAGTTACAATTGAGGCTAAGGTTAGGGTCAGCTAAAGGTTAAGCTGACAAAGAAATGTTCAGCTGTTAGTTGAAGGTTAGTATCTACAAACCACCACTGACTATCTAGAACATGACACCCACTAATAAATAGCAGTAACTGCACGTACTGAGAGTGCACTGATCAATCCTAAATACGCTTTTGACTTATCAGTTTTTATGCAGACTAACAGTGTGTGCAGTGTGTGATGATCTTTCTGAAATTTGAAGTTTTTTTGATGTTAATAATGTCTTCAGAGGGCAGCAGTGAGTAATGTTTGTTTATTTGATGTTAATAACGTCTTCAGTGGGCGGCAGTGAGTAATGTTTGTTTATTTGATGTTAATAACATCTTTAGGGGGCGGCAGTGAGTAATGTTTGTTCATTTGTTGTTTGATGCTTGTTAACAATGTCCAGAAGGCAAATGTGAGTGATGTTTGATGTTTGTTAATAACTCTTTTGGCTGGGTGTACACTACACGACTTTTAAAATCTTAACAGATTTCAAACGTAGAGCGTCACAAACTTCGTCAGTGTCAGAATTTCTTGTCTTTTTGTCATGAGGGCGCTCATACTAGTGGACGAGGCAAAGAGAGAGTGTAACACACATAATGAGTTTAGGCTACGAATAAAAACTCAAAAATCCTAGATCTCCTGTGAGATCACGCACCACAAATAAAGCCAAGCTTACTGGACTGGACCTGTTTGTGCTTTTATGCATAGCGAACGCGCAAACTGGGGATTGAAACTGGGTTGAGAAACGCTGATTTCACACTAGGAGGTGGACAAATGTTTCATGACAAACTGGCAACTGACTTGAAATTGCAAAGAGAGGGCTCTGATGTCTAGATCCACACATTATAAACATGATAATGGCTCTTATTTGCCTGTGTTTTACAGGCAGCACCTCTGTCTCTGCGCTCTGCTGTTAAGGCGATGTGTATGCACGCCTCTTCACCTTTTTCTCCGTTATTCTAGCTCTCTGATATTTACGCTCAAAACGTTCAAGAGTGCTGTAGTGTGAGAAGGTTAGAGATTCACTCAACAAATTATTCAAACAACAGCCAATCAAACATGTTATATCATAGAGCCTCCAATCCCTTCAGAGTTTGACTGGAGGGCTAAATATTCACTCATTTCTTCTCTCACATCACCATTTTTATTTTTCATTCATTTTTAATCTTATTCATTTAATCCAGTTCATTTTTAATTATTTCTAAGAACACAACAATGTGTGTGACACACTCAAGCTATTAGACCAAAGCGCTCTGTACATGAGAACAATAAGGTGCTGAAATGTGGTCTAGACTTTAGAACAGTAGGAGAGCTGTATAAAGCACATAATTAAAAGTGGGCTGTGGTGGAGCCTAGACGTAATTCAGCACGTCTGCGGTTAAAACAGCTTTCAGCACACAATGCTGTTCTTGCATTTCAGCACACACCGGATCAAAGGTATTTTTATAGCTTCTAACTTTAAAACTTGAAGGTGATGAACATTCAACATTACTGCTTCATTACGTTAGCACAGTCCACTCAAGTATAATGTCTGGGCACAGAGACAGGCCTAAGTGCTTGCCATTCTAGGTGTATCACCTAACACCTAATCCCTTTTCCCACCAAATGTCTGCAATATTTGACAACGACTACAATTGTCCTAAGGTAAAGAGGCTACTTCTACAAACAGCGGTTTTCCACAAACACTGCAGACCAATAGCTGCAGTGACTCGTATATGCAAAAATAACTGATCTGGGCTGGGCTTCCTGAAAGCGTTTTAGCACAAACATGATTCTTAAATGGTAGAGCGAGCATCACACTGAACACTGTCTTTACAGTTAAGATGATCTCAGCACTTGACAGCTTGTGGGAAACTGGGCCTTGACAGATGAACTCCTTTGAATATGCTACATTGCAAAAAAATGTTACTGTGGCAAGTGAAATCATCTTAAATCTACTCTATGTATCTAATAATATTAATATAATACAATTCTGAAACATATTTGTAGACCATTTTTATTCATGACATTTTTGTAAGAATACTGTAAGATGAATATACTTATTTCTAGACCTTTTTACTCATTTGAAATCATTTTATCTAGTGGACCTTATTCCATTTTGTTCAGCTGGCAGCTAATTATGCTTGTTTCAGTCCTAATTTCTTGAAACTGCAAAAGTATCTAGAAATGAGCAAAATTATTCACCAAAGGAATAAGATTCACCAGGTAAAATTACTTACAAGTGAAAAAAGAAATAAGTTAATTAATCTAACAATATTCTAACAACAATGCCATAAATACATGTTTAGTATATTTAAAGGGGAATTCCACTGATTTTTCAAAATATCTGCATAATTTAATCGTTTAAATATGAACAAAGTTAGTCAGAGTGGTTCAATGTAAAATGATGCATTGTAGAAAAACTTATTCACTTAGATTCCTTTACAGTGGTGGTGACACGAACCGCAGAACAAACATTGACATTTTATTTTCTATCCAGAGCAATCAGTGATCCCACATTTGTGAGTTTGTATGTGTAATAATAATGGTAAAACAGTCATAAATCTGAAAAAATGTTTTTCTCAATGCCTGGTATGTACCTTCCCACCATGAATGGGTTAAAAAACATTTCAGGACAAAGTTTTTACTCAACACTATCATTTACTCAGGTATCAAGCAGTGTATTGTAAGCACTTCATGTAACAGATTTCTGTGAGGGATCTTTAAGAGGCATTAAACTCCTCTGATGTCTGGTTCCTATCACCACCACTGTAAACAATTCTGACTTGGTAACGTTTTCTAAAATGGTGCATTTCACATCAAACAAATGGCTTTGTTAACATCTTAGCCATTTAATTATGCATAAATAAAAAAAATAGAACAGAATAACCCTTTAAGCTGATTAGGTCATACAGCAGATTTGAAACTCCTTTGCACAGCCTGGTTCTTTATGCATACATACAAAATCAATGAGCCACAGAGTAATAATAGCTTACCTGGCTCCCTGTTGATTTCCACATCAAAGTAGCACTGAGGGTGATCTTTCACCCCCATTCTGAACGGTGGAGGCTGCCTACAGGCTACTGTGAAAACAAAACCAAAAAATAAATGTTAAAGTTTGCCCTCTGGTTGGAGTTTAAAGCTTCAAGTCTTCTGGTAAAAACAACATGCCTCTGGCTCTGGAGCGTGCCAGGGGGGAGTGGTGAAGTGATGCAAAGAGAGAGAAGATTGAGATCGGGGAAGTGTCCCTCTCCACCAATGAAATACAAATCCGCTCTGAACGCAGCTCCCACTTCCTTGCCTGAATATTGCCTTGTCAGACAGCCCCCTGCTGCTCCCCCTGTGCCTCTGATGGGGCGAGGTACAGTGCAAGTGGATGAATGTTGCCTGTAGGGTGTTTCTAAAAAGCAGGCTACAAAGAAAAGGCACTGCGAGTTAGCCATGTTTCATATGTGGACCTGGTTCAAATAAAAACTACGGCAAGTATAGCGTAGAAGCCAAAGCACAAAGGCCTATTTAAACTTCAAACGACTGTTTGGCAAAAAACTAAGCTTTCTTAGCTTCATTAGTTTTGCACTGGAGCTACAAGACTGGTGTTGCTAAGTAATGCAGGCTTACATTTTATCATGTTGTGATATATTATGCCACATTGTGCCCCAATATGCATATCATGGATCTTGTCAGTACTTAAAACTTCTCCATTCTAGAGAAACTTGCAGAGTCAGAACTGTTCACAGTGGTGGTGACAGGAACCAGACATCTGAAACCCCCCCCCACAGAAAGCGAATGTCTGAGACATTTTTTTATGATAGTTTTGAGATAAGATTTAGGTGTAAAACATGTTCATGGTGGAGAGGTACATGCAGGGTGCTCATCATCAGCATTCTATTTAAAACTCTTAGAAGATACATGTAGGTTCACAGGTGGACAATAAAACGGCTATATTTGTGTTGTAGACATCGTGACCCCGGGTTCCCATCACCACCACTGTAAAGAAATCAGAGTTGGTGAGTTTCTCTACAATGAGCCATTTCAAATTAAACCACTCGGAATGACTGTTTATATCTGACTGAATTTGGTGGAATTCCCCTTTAAAGAACACCAAACAATTGTATGTTTCATTACAAAGAGAACACAATTAGTCCTGTTTAGTTGGATTTGGTGCAGCGTAGTATGTGAAACCTTGAAAATAAAATCATTATACTCACAGTTTTTGGTAATATTTTTAGAATGCATCACTACTGGCTCTTTTTGTCTGTTTAATTGTATTAAACCTCAGAAACACAGAATATTGTGATGCATATCTTGTATTGTATAAGTGTCTTCAAGTATTGTGACTGTATTTTTGCTGTATTGCCCACCCATGCATATACCCCACCAATTAGGCAGGATGAACAGATGTGGGAACGGTGGCCGATGCAAATATCTAATATCTCTCATAAATAAATATCTGTCAATGCTGATACACAAAATGTAGAAACTAAGACTACATCTATCTGGACCAGCCTTAGAGAGAACTACAATGGTTATTTTCATGGGGTATGGTTATTTCTTATTTTTCATATATTTTCATTGCCAACTATGTCCTCTTCTCATGGTTTGAAGAATAACAGCTCTCAGTTTACGATGCACAAAAAGGGTTACAAATGCTGTAAAATGAATAAACTACAGAACATATAGCCTAAACATTCTGCACTTCCAGAGTACAAATAACACATCATGAAATATCAGTCTGAAATATAAGTTAAATCTAAACATCTGTCTGATGTTGATAGTTTTTTAAAGCAATTATCTGCCAATAACAATATAATTCTGATATCACTGTGCATCCCTACCAATTAGCACTGTGCAAACTGTATGCCTAAATCATTGCAGGTTTGTCTCAAATTGCATTGAGTTATAAAACAATTTCAAAAAAATGGACACTACTATTTTAACATGGACATACTGTTGCCAATGTTTATAGATAACAGTATGTTATACAACAGTAAAAACCACATATGCTTTTGAGGCAAGATTGCGATGATTTAGGCAGTTAGTTTGATGCCAACTGGTGAGATATAAGCTTCAACTACTTGTTAGCGACATTAGCCTTGTACCTCTCCTGCAAAACTAAAGAAAAAGACATCAGACACCAAACATGTCTTGGCTGATCGACTTGCTGTACCAATCAATTGGCTGTACTACTCCTTCAAGGCAAACTCAAACTCAACAGCGCAAACAATCCACCGCATGGGGCTTAGTACAGTCTAAAGTTGCCATTAAAGATAACATGACAGGTGCTTCCCTGATGTCAGCGAATCTGATTTTAATGCTGGCTTTCAGGCCCCTGTGAGAGCTGGTGTAGAGAGGAATGCACACCAGCTGGTTCAGTGAGTGAGAACAGAGCAGTCAGACCGCCTGGGTAAATGCCAAATGTCAAAGGAAACGTCATGGAAAAGAAAGATGTAAGAGGCTGATCGAGAATCTAGGCCTGTTTCTGCACTTGAGAAACAGAAATAGCCTTTATGAGGCCTAAAAAAATTCTCACTTTTTTAAAATGAAGGCTTGATGTAATATGTTAACATTGCTGTAGTATCAAAACATACCACTGACTCTCCAGTCCATACAGTCCGTATATGGAAACTAAGCTGCAAAACAGCCTGTTTTGAATTTACCGTTTATGCGATACCATGAAAACCAACACATTTCCATACATCTGCCTGTGCACCCCAGAGCAGTTTAGGTCCACCGACTCACACTCTTATAGTGTTTCAGCCTGAACTGCTTCTTGAATGAGGCACAATACAGGGTAGTCAATCAGAACAGAGATTATTTACATATAACCGTCTTAAAAGGCACAGTAACGGACATAGCATGTTTAATTTTAAGGGATAAAATTGTCACGTAAAAATAAATTACGGCGGTTGGTACAAAAACAAATATTAAAATAATGTGGAAAGGGGAAAAAAATAAAAGAAGAGAAAAATCCAGGATATGGGACCTTCAATGTGCAACATTACCCTAAGACATTAAGGTTCCCACTGATCCTTTCTGTTCAGAGCCCAGTATCTGCTGAGACTTTTGCTAAAATGTAAAAGAATGAAATAACAACTCGTTATATCTCCACCTTTGCAATCAGGCAAAACAAGCTAATCTGTAAAAGCCAGTAAAAACAGCTAACTATATCTAACTAAAAGAGACAAAGGCCAGATGCATATTTCACAACTAAAATCAACTCCAACACATTGTGATGGACAGCTGTCTTAATCGCAAAGTCAAAATCATGAATACAAAAAAAAGTTATTTTAATAAACAATATACAGCACATCAGACATATTGTCAGTACTGACTAACTGCACATTTCATTAAATGTTATGATAATGTCTAAGTATTGTGATGCTATATTACCATATTGTCTACCCCTTAATAACTGCATAGGTATGTTTTTATATCTCTCTCATAGAAGAAAAAGATAAATATGACAAAGATCTGAGTGAAACAATGCACTGTGACATTGTGATATTGCTATACGATAAAACTGTGACAATGCACCACTTAGAATGGGCATCTGTTGTTTATGCAATTTATTTTAACTGCATTATTTCAACACTAAAATTTGCAAACTGTCAGCATCACACTCAAGCGCTCCACCAGCCTCCCAGCTCTGGTGTTGTCAGTATGCTCTGCAAAAACATGATTATAGTCATCATTTCTTTAAATCTGAATTTTGTTGATGATATTGTAAGAATGCCGAATTGAGATCCCAAAATCAAATTGTGGGCTGAAAGTATCATAACACAACTAATAAAGGTAACAAATCAGTTAGCTACCAATGTGTTGGTGTGCGACCTGCTGGACATTTACTATGCTCATTTTTTCACTATGGAATTGTATTTAATGTAGTTAATTAAAAGAAACATTATGTTCGTATCTAAACTGCTGTATGCCCTGCTCTCTCGCCATACAAACACAGGAGCCAAACCCATGTCCACCAGTAAAAGTCTTTTATTTAGCAATAGTACTATCAACATATCTTACATTTAGGTTGATAAGTAGCTACATTTCTTTCCGTCTAAACTAAAAAAGGTTAAAAACAAGCTGTAGATAGTAGTTGTCCCATTCTGAATTTCAGTCGCTATAACAAACTCGGTGATATATAATCGAAACTGGTATATCGGTATAGGTGTCACATCTTGATACTGGTTTCTCATTCTAGAAACCTCGTTTCTGCCTGGTGAGACTACTGTCTGTGTAATCTGTGTAAGAAGACAGAGCAAAACAGTCTGATCACAAAACGCTTGACAGTTTTGAGCTTTTAGTACTGAGTACCAGTACTCTGGAATCATGCATGCATTAATAAACTAAGCAACTTTATTAATGCAATTAGAAATATCAATTTCTTTGCTACCGTAATATATCACAAAAAATAAATAAAATAAATAAAATAAATACAGTGATACTGAATTGCTTCAACAGAGCCAGCAATAACGTTGTAGTTTGTTGCAACCTATATCTGAAGAGTAGTAACGTTACTTTCATTTTCCATCTTAGTACCAAAACTCGGTAGGTTAGCTAGCAAGGTGGCTTTAACGTTAAGTTACGTTAGCTAGCTGGACAACGTTAACAGTAGGTAACTTACTAGCTATAGCAAATCAATCAGCTTTTAGGCGTTTTTAGAACATATTCATCCATCTAAAAGCCTTACCTTTTGTATAACACGTCAATCTGCCAAACTGCTACTATATACGCAAATGTATTCCAGCTATAACCCAAACGTTTCCATTAGCTAGCGCTAGCTAGTTAGCTAGTTAGCTAGCCTACCAAAGAAAAACAGTGCAGTCAATATGAACGTTTCCTGTATTTCTGTGTTTATGCCACTCTTCATACAAATGGAGTGATGATAAATAGCGAATAGGGACAACAACAATATTCACAAATAAGACAGCAAAACATCAGTTTATTACCTGGGTGGCTAACCTCGACATGACCAGCAGGACTTTCGTGTTGAACTGAACGAGTGAAGGCCACCACAGCAGCAACGGTTGTTTCCTCTTTCCATATGTCAATGAAACAATTGAAAATTAGTAGAAACTGCACACATGCCAAGCCTCTCACTTAACAACCCTAACTATAATAACCTAAAAAATTGAAATGAAACTTTTATTCATAAATACATTTTTATAAAAACACATTTTTATTATTACAATTATAGTTTCTCGGGACTTTAGGGGGCCTTTATTTTGAAATTGGTAACACATTCTCTCCCCCATGGCGGAATTTCACTCCGTTGTTCGTGTTTATGTGATGGCGTTGCACAATTATAACCATGAATACCGGGATTAAATGATATGTTTCGGTTGTTAAGATACTGGAACTAGCCGATACAACAGAATACAGTGTCTAACTTTTATTAGTATTATATAAAAAGAGTTAAATCCAGAAAGAATGAGGTAAGGGCTGGTTATATCCGTGCACCTGCTAGCTGGTGCTAATTACTCCTCAACACTGAGTAAAAGAGGCATGATTTATTATTTTCTCTGCATAATTATACAAATAAGAAATCAGTGCAACAATAACAGCATGGCAGGGCACAGTAGTAAGTTATTAGGAATACGGAAAGATCATCTATGAACTAGCTGTCAATACTGGTTATCACTAACTTGAAATTCTAGTTAACCTAAAGAGTCTCTGCACATATAAGCGAAGTGGACTCGCTTTAATATGTAGCTTTACAAACTCGCTTGCAGTGCTTATAAGGAAGCTTAAGTGATAGTGTCTTGAAGTTGATTCAGGTAGCAACATAATACAGCGTATGTGTCAGATGTCTCCTGTATGTCTCCTGTATTATACACTGGTTTGTGGAACCTGCTGATAGTCATTTAAAGGAAATAATCTTGAATATACCGAGAAGTAAGTTAATTATCACTTCTCAAAAGGCGTTTGAGTGTTTTTTTTCTCATCTCTGGTCTCTTTAAAATGTAAACTAATTCTGTTCGCTGTTCTGTTGCCAGCTGGCTTGCTTTTGCAATGCATCATGGGAATTGTAGTGTTTAGCACACCTACTTAGAGAATTGAAATACATACAATTACATACAGTTACCATTTGAAATACATAACTTTTAAACTTGAAATGGAAATGGAAGTCATAAATTTGAATGCTAATGCTTGGACAAAAAATCAATATCCTATTTAAATATCAATATGTTAATACACAGCACTGTTCTCTGCTCACAGGGAGCCTCTTCTTGCTCTTCTTTTTCAGGATGAATCTTCCTAAAGGCCTGTGTGCAGCATGGCACTGATCCTGTTTGCCTTTGTGGTTCGGGTCAGGGATGGACTCCCTCTCTCTGCGTCCACTGACTTCCAGCACAACAGGGAGCTCCAGGAGAGGAAGCAGCAGCTGAAAGTCATTTCTAAGTCCCTGAACTTGCTCCCTGAGAGAGGGACCATCAAGGGCCATGAGCTCCATATCTAGTGAGTCTTCATTGTAAATAGCCAATTAGCAGTCAGGATTGACTGACACCACAGCGATTCTAAATGGTTGTGTGATGTATGTGCATAGTGCATGCTGGGTATTGTAGTGAGAGAACAGACTGTTACTTGCTCTATACACAGTATAAAGTCTCACTCTCAAATTTGGGGGGCATCAGAATGGAATTAGGATCCAGTTTGGGCTTCTAATGCATTGTAAATGTTGATTAAGATGAGCAGCAGAACCTGTTGGGATGATCAGGGTAATAGCTGTTTAGAGGTTGACAATATGGCAAAATATCATATCACAGTATTTCAGGATTTTTTTTTATGATGCACAATATGTCACGATATTTTTTCTGACATCTGATCAAGTCGGAACAGACAATGTAAGCCTACATTTTAAAAATACCATCAAAAACAAAGTTGTTTGTATTCCACATTTCACACATTATGCTGCACCAAATCCAATTAGTGCTCAGAAAAGCATATTGTGATATAATTGATCACAATAATGATGAACAATAATCACAACTATTGTCATATTGCCCCGCTCTAGCTGGTTCAAATGCATATCAGCACAAGAATATATTCTTCCACTTTTTACTTAAAGTCTTTAAAGATGTTCAAATCCACATATTGCATACTTAAAAATTTGTTAAAAATGTTGAAAATTAATGTAATTAATCCATGTTTTGTGGTTGCAGTAATAAGGAAAAACAGGTTCCAAATGTCCTGTCAAGTCTAGCTTTGTTTACCTCCAGTGGAGGGGTCAAAACTGAGCCAGAAAACGGCCCACTCGTCCTGTGAGGTCATTTGTTTACTAAACGCTCTCTCTGTATGTTGTAGCTTCCTCTCGTCGGAGGGTGTGGCCTACTTGATGGTGTGTGCGTGTAGCCTCCCTGCTGCTGTGGCCTTCTGCTTCCTGGAAGACCTCCGCTGGGAGTTCACTGCAAGCTTCGACAACTCAGCGGTCGCCCTGGCAACCCGGCCATACCCATTCCTAGAGTTCGGTGAGTGTACGAAGGGATGTGCTTATGGTATTAGATGAACTGTACACGATAAAAGGATGGCAGATACTAGGACTGCTCGATAAGGACAAAATACTAGTATTGTTTATGCTGTTATATATTACGATGACAATATACCTTGCAATGTAGTAAAAACGCAATATTGAATCAATAATAAGACTTGGCTAAAAATTTACTCAATTTTCCATTTACTTCAGATGTATTTGATCAGCCAAGACATGTTTAGTGTCCAAATCTTACTTCTTTAGTTTTGCATTGGAGCTACAAGGCTAACATTGCTAACAAAGACTATAAGTCAATAGTCACCAAAAACCTTGTGATAAATACATCCACAAAAACTTTTGTCAACCTGCTCAGTCCACATCCAGAGCTTCATTAAGCTTCATTCAGTGCAGACTTGCCAATGTGGTTTAGACACAGTATGACTTACTGTGAACTACAAAAATGAACAAAACGTCAATGTGTAGCTGAACACTGTGGTCAGTCACTTTAGACAACAGCTGTTGTGCTGAATTCCAGCCCCTTTACAGAATTCCTTGCACATATATATTTCAAAGTTTCAAGATTAATAGTTTTTCTAGATTGCAAGATCAACCTTGATGAAAACCAGGATGTGGTTTGAGCGGGCTCAAAGAATTTTTCAGGAGGTACAGATTTGGGTGACTATTGACTTCTAGTGTTCGTTTGCTACATTAGCCTCATAGATCTAGCACAAATAAGCTAGAAGAAAAATTTGGACACCAAATTTAAAACACCATTGCTTTGAAATAATTTCATTTGTTGGTTTACATGAATACCTTGACTCATCTGGAACTGTGATTGTTCAATCCAGATTTGTGTAAAGGTTGTAATGTCCTTTTCTCTACATCAGACAGTGTCATTCAAAAACTGCAGCAGCACTACAACCAGAGTGGGGGCCCTTCTCTTGGTGTGACCTTGGCTGAGGTGCAGGAGGAGCTGAGGGCCAGCCCTCCCCAGATCCTCACCATGGAAGATGTGCAGCTCAGTAATGGAGCAGCAAATGGCCACATTGAGCAGCCAGCTCCATCAGGTTTGGATTTTTTTATTTGTACAATTTTCCCTTATCTCAAGCGCAGGTGATCAATCAAGACCAAGATTTGGTGTCTGAAGTTTCTTCTTGAGTACTTTGCATAGTATAAAGCAGTAGTAGCCATCCTCTTGAAGCTCTTGAAGAAACCTTGAGGAATCGAGGAGAGGGCAGCTTATCCAGACAATAAACAGCTGAAATGTTGTATGAAAGCATCACTTGGTTAACAAATACATTTTTTGAACCAGAACTTAAAATTCATTTTGGACAGCTGATTATTTTATTATACCATTATTTTATATGTATTTTTAATTACATTATTGTTGTTGCTATGCAGTTCAACTGGCGATTACCGGCAATATCATTTTATAATATTATTTGAAATAGATTTTATTCATCACTTTACGTAATGATTGGCTGGTTCCGGTCAGTTTCTCACAGATTTTGTCAAGCTCAGTCAGTTTCGGACTCAAAACTTGATAATTGTAGTTCGGGTCTGGTCAGGTGTTGACAAACAGACTCAAAACCTTATAACGTGGTGCAGGTCCTGTCAAGTTTTGGGTTAGGGTCGGGCTGGGACAGAAAGTTTTTGAATTTATTCGGGATCAGACCAAAATTTCAGGCCCAATTAAAGCTCTAACTAATTGGGGGCGGTAATCTTACATTACTTGTTCAATTACCTCAAATGTCCAGTGAAAGACTAGAAGAAAACTCTGGACACTAAACATGTCTTGGCTGATCAAATGCAATTGGGGTAAGTGGAAAATTGTGTAAATAAGATTTTTGTTTGAAACCATGGCCGAATTCAGGTTTTAACTGTGACCAAACTGTTCGTTTTGAAGGTCAGAATCAGAGACTGGAGCCAGTCTCAGCACCTGGCATCCTCTCGCTGGTGCTCAACATTATGTGCGCTGCCCTCAATCTCATTCGAGGTGTCCATCTAATTGAATACACCTTCCAGGTAACGTCCAACTTCATGTGAAATTAATGTGAACTCTAAGTCTGTTAAACTTTTGATATGATTGATGTTATTTTATTTTTCACAGGATGATTATGAAGGAATATGGAATGTTGTGGCATTTCTTTTGGCGTTTGTATGTTGTGTTTGCCAGGTAAGTTATTTCATATTTGCCACATGTCCTTAAATCATACATATTACATATCACCAATCATCTGTTGTATACACTGAGTGTCCTGTTTATAATCTACCTTGTGGCTACATTCATTGATGCACTTTTAAGGTCTACAGTGACTGTCTGTAGCCTGCTGTCGCTGTACAATTTGTCTTCAACCCTCCAGGGTCCATCAGTGGAAAGGGACTACCACAAGAGAACAGCTCACCAAATATTATTTGAATGGTGTATCACTCACAGCAATGACACATTGCCACACACATTTGCATGCCACTGCCGTGTCAGTATTACTGCAGTGTTGAGAATGATCCCCTACCCAAATAATACCTGGTTGGTGGTAGTTCCATTCCCTTGCTGAACAGGGCAGAGCAGCCCAGCTTTGGCCAGGCCATCCATCGTACAGGGGTGGCGGTGGGAAATATATTGGGTTACACTTTGCACGTTTCCATTATGTCCCACAGTATCTTGACATAAGGATAAAGCCAATTGCTCACAGCAGTGGAGATGTTCCCCTGCCTAATCCAACATTACAATAACAAAACTGTTCACATCAAAGAGAATGCAGGCTTTACAAAAATCCAGGCAACACTGCTGTAAAGTATGCACCTGCTCACAACAAGCTCAACTCCAGTGAACCCCACTAAAGCCCACATAACAGTTAGAATCACAGATCTGAGATCTAAGTTACACAACGAAAGTTGAGGAAAAACATCTGCACAAGCAGCGTCAAGCATCTTAAGCCAAAGCGTAATGACTGTGCTTTTCATGGGCCTAGTGAACATTAGAAGGGTTTATGGACCATTTATATCTTACCTTTGATGCCTGGAAATATACATACATGACGTAGCCGATTTAAAGCTTATAATTTTAAAAGGTCAGCATTTGTAATTAACAATTTGTAATTAACATCTGTAGTCAACAATATGTGTGGATCATTTTACCAAACCTGTCTAAAGTCAGAGTTCAAAACCCCCTTTGGACTTGGACTTTAGACTAAAATCCTTTTGCTTTGAGTGACCCTATGGGACAAGGATGCAGTGACAAAAAAAAAAATGTTGTATGTATGTGTGTGTTTGTATATATGTGTGCATTATATGTATTCATATGAGTATGTGTGTGTGTATATATATATATATATATATATATATATATATATATATATATATATACACACACACACACACATATATATGTATGTATATACATTATATGTATACATATGTGTAAATATACTCACACACACTCTCTGGGGCTACAGTTTGAAGTAATTCGGTGGAATTTTATAATTAAACTATGTAAAGAATTATATACTTTAAGATGTATATTCTTCTGACACCTCCTTGGCAGGCGTTGCTGCGCTGTAGTGTTTTTCAACTTTTGAGATTTTGCCCTGCAGAGGATGTTTGCATCTCTTAACAGGTGCCAACCCTGATTCTTGTTCTTTCTTTGTCACAGTGTCACCTTTACTTATTCCACTCCTCACTGAAGAAGCTCAAGTCCTTCACGCTCCTGACCATTATCATTCTATGCAACACCTTTCTGTTTGGCCTGAGGAATGTCTGGCAGCTGGCCTTCCACATGTCTGTGGCCTGCCTCTCCACGCTGCTCTGCCTCAACCGCAAGCTTCTGGACAGGAGCTCCGACTGCGGAGTGTGAGTTTACACACATAGAGCTTCTTCTGGAGCTGCTTTTGAACGCTCACAAGGTAGGACACGTGACTGTGTCTTATCTTGGTTTACCAAGAGCTAGTCTCAATGGAGGGAGATATAATGAACAGAGTACAGAGGGGACAGGAACAGTGAGTCACCAGAAAAGAATACAGCAGAATAGTGTATTCATGTCAATTTTAAACAGGAAACTACCTTCAAAGACTGACAACAGGACAATGGAATGGTGTCTGAATGTTTTAAAAAATGCTGGTTACAGCATCTGATGTTTTTTCATTTTCACTGAAGTGTAGGGCTGTCTATGGATTTTATTGGTCATCCACTGATTAATCTGACAGTTAATCAAGTAATCAGAGTTTAAAACAGGCCAAACTGGATAAATGAGCTTAAATGAACAATAACAAATCATGCAAAGATTCCACATTCATTTATTTGTAAAAAGAAACTAAAAAGCCTTAAAAATAGCACTACATGGCAAAACATGAACATAGATAGTCCAGATTTCCATCTGTTTCTTTCTATAATGGAGACCAAAAGGAGAATTTAAAATATGCCAATTAACCCCTGGTCATTGATCATATTTTAATCCACGATTTTTTTTAATTGAGTAAAAATGAGTAATCATGACAGCGCTGCTTTAGTGTCATACATTATTTGAATATTTCATCATTTCACAGTTAATGACTACCATGCACACATGGGTAGCCTAATGAAAGCTTTTGATTTAAAATGCCTTTTTCATGAATCATTAGCATTTTTAGTGCATATTTTGAATGTAATAGGGAAAAGAAATTAATAAGGGATGTAACCTAATAAGCACACTGCAAGGGGATCGACTTAGTTGATCTAAGTCACAGCTCCACTGTTCAAAAGTTTGGAACCACTTCTCGTTACCAGTTTTGTGATTTCATTCAGTGATAACTTTTATAGTGCACATTACTGTAAACTAGATACCAGAAGGTATTCTTTAGGAAACAATAATAAGCTTTTAAATGATAACTGATATTCTGTAATTATCTATTTTCTTGATAAATTATCTGCCTCCAGATTTAATCACCACTCAAATACGAAGCAGTCTGGATGCTAATTTTTTCTCCATTCTGGACACAAAAAATTGTAATTTTTAACAGCTCCCTACAAATGATTTGAAACCTGTGAGGTGCTGAGTACTAGGATCATGTTAAAATCACATGTAAACTGTAACTAAATTGGACTATGAATATGATGAAAAACACTATGAATGTGATCCCAAACTTTTGAATGGTGAGTCTAAACTTATGAAAGGTAATGTAATTGCAAAATATAAGCATGCGAATGTCCCTTTAAAGGGGAATTCCACTCATTTTTTAGAATTTCTACATGGCTCAGTGGTCGGGATGTAAACAGTGTCATTCAGAGTGGTTTGATGTGAGATGGTTCATTGTAGAGAAACTTACCGACTCACATTTCTTTACAGTGGTGATGATGGGAACCACAGTGTCTACAATATAAATATTCATTTTGTTTGCAATCCAAACCCAACACGTGTTTTTATATGTAATGCTAATAGTGGTAAATCTGAAAAAATAAGCTTTCTTTTGGGGATGATTTTGCTTTGCATATATCTGTCAATCATTATTAGCTTTTGAAATACCTAAAATACCAAAATTAAATCTCAAAACTATGGTAAAACAATGTCTCATCGAGCACCCGGCAGGGTATTCATGACCCTTTCATATTTTAAACGTCTGTGAGCTAGATTTTACAGGCATAAACGCTTCAGACATCTGGTTCCTATCACCACCACTGACTCAGTGAGTTTCTCTAGAACAGAGCTTTTCGCATCAAACCACTGTGAATGACTTTGCCTAGAAGTTTTTAAAAATTGGTGGAATTCCCCTTTAACTGAATAAAGAACTGAGAAACTGAGAAAGCTACTGACTCTTGCATTAAGTTTGCATAAATCTCACTGGTGAACATTTAAGTAGGTATAAAACTGACTAATTTTTTGCATAATTCTAAAGTCCGATTTTGTTCAAGAAGCAGCTGATGGCTTGTAAATTATTAAAGTATACCTCTCTGAATATCATATGACATACATATTCCCAGCGACATGCAATATAGGACCTAGTTTACAGATAGTCTAAAATAGCTTTTTTTGCACTAATTTATTGTTTACAAAAAAGTTGCATTTTTGTAAGTTTGTGTGAGAATTTGCTTAGAAGCTAAATTAGTAGCTGACAGTATTAGAGCTGTTTTAAATGAGCAACAGTGTCTGGTTTGCTTAGCAGCAAAATCGAGTGGATTGTTTATTCCAGTCTTAATTTTCTACCATCCACTGAAGTTTAATAACCTTTGAGGATATTGGGTAACACTTTATTATAACAGGCACCAAATAAACAGCAGCTTATTAATCATCTAATAGTTGGTAAATGACTGATTAGCTACATATCGTCACTGTCCATAGAAAAACATGTGTCTGTATAATGTAAAGAGATTTTATTCCAAGTGGTTTTAGGTCACTTCTCTTGGTGCATTTATCATGAAATTTACAGAGTACAGAGGACAGCTGCCATGTTCAATTGATGTAAGTGTAAAAATGGCAATTGTTGCATTAATAAATGATCCTATTTAAATTAACAGTTTACTTAGTGACATAACAGTCAAGAATTATTTTGGACTGTTGGAATCTAATCATTTTCATTTATTATAGTTTGTCAATAATGATTTTTGTTATTTGACACTCATAACACAAAAAGATATAACTTGAAATATTAGCCGTTTGACAAAAATGGATATTGTTGCATTAATAAGACATACTTCTTGAATATTAATTTTTTACTTAGTGACATAATATTCAAGAATTAATAGAAAAAAATGAACCAACTCAAAAATTATATAACTTGAAATATTAACCATTTAGTTTTAGTTGCATAAAAACATTTCTTAACAATTATGAATGAATTGTCTATGTCCTGTTTTAAATGATTAAGTAGTTATTTACTTGCTACTTTGCTAATTTTTCCTTTACGCGTAGTTAATCATTATTAAATGGTTAATATAATTGTATGCAAAAGTTTGAACAACAAATTACACATTTAGTTAATTTTGTAAATGAAAATATGTTAACACACCCTCTACAGAGGGCACACTTAAATATGACATTTTTCTGCAGATTTTAGTTTACAATTTGTAGGAATTTGCTGAGTGTAACATAAAAACTAAAGCATAAAATCTAAAATGTGTACAAAGTTTTGCACAGGCCACATTTTATGCTTTACTTTTTTCCAGTATGATAAATTCAGCAAATAAACAGTGATAATGTAACTTACTTTCACTTAGAAAACAAAACCAGGGCTGCCCAAACTTTGAATTGGGACCCTATTATAACGTTGCGACTTAAAAATGTATCATATTAATTATTTCACTTATATAACATAAATACATCTAATACGTTTGTGAAAAGCATTTACAATGATTTAATTATTTATATGTCACTAAGTAAACAGTTAAAAATCCAAATCCTTATTAATGGACAAGTAACAATTATATAATAATTAACTATCAATAACAAACTATTAGATAATGATTACGTTTCTAATATAGAGGCCTGTTATTATAAAATGTTACCAGATATTGTTGTAATGAAGAATGAATAAGTCTTTACACTGAATGGACGATTTGTAGTAATGAAGGTTATTTTAAGCACTTCCGAAATTTTATCATAATTTATTTTTTAAGGCCCGTAAGACTACAGTTCATACATGTGTAATTCATTTTATCTTGCTTTTCTCTTTTTACATTCACAAATGGGTCATGTGAGATGTTTTGTTTAATCATACTGTACATGTTGTAGTAACAGTTAGCATGTAATGCTACGTGCTTCAATATTTAATATAGCATGTGGTGCTATATGTAGTAAAGTGATTGGCAATGCCTTATTATACAGTATGATTCGCATATTCAAAAATGAGTTGAAGATCATTCTAAAGCTTGTCAATATGGCGATCCAAGTATAGTAAAACCCAAATCCCTAAGGGCTCAGTTTCCATTGAAAGACTTTTGAAAAGCTTTTTAATGAGATTCCTTTTAAAATTGAAATACTGGTGAAACTACTCCTGCCATGAATCGTGACTCTTGTGCTCTAATTAGCGGCAAAATGATTTCAATTTGACTTCAACAAAGAGAAGCTGATTTTTTGAACTTTGCGAATGCATATTTGCTCACTATTCAAGTTTGTAATTCTTAATTACTGTGTATGTTGGGATAATAAAACATATTTTTATAATCATTTTTAATGTTTAGATATAGTGTAGAGTGTGGAACTAATTAAGGTTGAGTTGCACTAATGTACTGGAGGAAAATGTCCAATCAAAACGTTTTAAACAAGTTTTATGTTGAACATATCTGAAACCACTCTTGTTGTAGTAGGTGATCACTTTTTAACTTAATTTTGATGAATGAAGGTTTGTCTGTCAAAAAAAGCTAAGAATTACAGTACTGTGCAAAAGTCAGAGACCAGCGTTTCATTCAAAAGCTGGTTGAACAGAAAAATACACAGAAGCATCAACAACTAAACTTAATATCAAATGTTTCAGTATTTAGTGTGTCCACTCTTTTCCTTTTTTGCAGCTTCTATTCTTTTTCTTGCTTTCAGCTTTTCAAAGAAAACTACAGGGGTATTTTTCTACACCTCCTAAGTTTAGTCCTAGGCTGTGTTCAGACTGCAGGCAATTCGGATTTGTTTCTCAAATGAGATCTTTTGAAGCGGCTGTCCATGCTATTATTTGCAATTGATCAGATCAGATTTGTTTGTTCAGACATCACCAACCGATCTGCATGGGCTGCTGTGGTAATGACGTAGGTTTCAGTAACCACGTTAGCTATGCTGGTGACGCGGATTTCAAACGTGGATGAAGAAGAGATGGAGGTGCATCATCTCGCCCACCAAACTCTTCAAAATTCTCTGGTATAGGCATGAATCTTTGGCGCTCTTCTTGAATCCCAGCGCTTCCTTCACTCTAGATTTGACATCACGTTGTTTGTCAAATTGCAAGTGACGCAAAAGACTCTTTGAAATCCGATTTGAGCGTCCAGAGTGTCCAGACTGAGATAAATCTGTAAAAATCTGATTGAAATCTCATATGCCAAAAAATCAGATTTGGGCTGGCAGTCTGAACAAGGCCTTAGAAGTTGGCTGCTTCATGCTATCAAAATAATCCTAATAACATTTAGACACATCAATCCATAAAAGCTTAGATGTCTAGTTTCAGTGTTGAGGTGTAAATGTTCCTCTTTTTTTATATATTCTTTTCTCAGTAAGGGCTTCTTGAGAGCTACATGTCCTTTCAGACCCACAGCATTAAAGAAATAGCAAAAAAATGAACTTTCTATATTTTCCACCTGCCCCAAATGCAGTTGATCAGCAAAGATGTTTTTGACGTGTAAATTTTGCTTCTTTAGCACTGGAGCTATAAGATGAATCAATATGGAGCAAATTAATTAGCCAAATGAAAACTCAGGTAACACACCACTACTCATCTCACTCTGTCTGGACTCAAGTGATGCTCGTTGTCATGGTAACGTCTACACTAAGTAGTACTGTACAAATGCGTGAAAGTCTGGATCTAATGACTTGTAATGTGCATGTAAACTGAGATTTTTATTGTTTAATTGTTTATTTAAGTAGAGTGAGCATATAAGCACCTCAGTCTTAATCTACAATCGGAACGAATTCAGTCAGATTGGCAACAATCTTCGCATGTAAACACAGCCATTGAAAGTCAACAGTCACCCCAAGCAGTTCCACATATACATCCTGAACCCACTTGAGCCGCATCCATGGTCTTAATTAAGGTCACCCAGACAAGCTGATGTGGTTTAGAACAAAGTATAAACTCTAAACTTAAAAAATGTAAAAAAAAAAAAATTTTAGAAAATAAATTATGGTGTAGCTAAAAGAAGAGGAAGCCATTGCTTTCCTGAGCATGATGAGATGACGAAAGATGGGGCAAACAACAAAGATGCTCTGTAGGGTAACGTAGGTAGAAAAAGTAAGGAAGTGTACTCAGAAAATCAGTACAGTGTCTGATTTATGAGTTTGTGGACCACATTTTCTGCACCCATGAGCCTCAACCTTGAATGTACACAAGGAGAAACACATCTGTTGGATGCTGGACCCACCAGTGACTCCGTGGACCCACCTGTGAGACTTCAGACAACAGGAGCCTTGTGGTGTGTTTGGGGCAAGTGACAGGTGATGCTGTGTCTCTGCTCCTCACTTGTGTAGAATTACTGTAATTCAAATTGCAACATCTCATACAGTGAGCAAGCTTTAGGTTATACTGTGCTAATGCTGCATACCTGTGTAGTGACATTTTACAACACACCCCTGCGCTCCAGCCTCCCAAAGTTTGAAGGCAGAATTGTACCTGAAATCAAGACGTTATGCAGGTGATAATATAGTTCTTTAAATGTGTAAATAAGGCCTGTCCATGTCATTTTACTAAACCATTTAAACATATTTGAAAACGGTTTGGGTGACTATTGACGTCCAGTGTTTGTTAGCCTTACAGCTCAGTTCTAAACTAAAGAAGCAACATTTGAACGCCAAACATGATCTTTGCTGATCGACTGTATTTGGGGAAAATCATGAAAATTTGATTTTTCTCAAACTATTTCTAAGTAGTCCTCTCACAGTGAAAGAATTTACACCTGTTTTCAGATCTGAAGCAAAAGAGGAGCTTGTTTTTCTCCTCTCTCTCAAATATGAAAGCTTTAAGTGCTGTTTATCTGATGGGGACAAATCCCATTTTCTTTGCATCATTTCATTTTTTTTAAACACCAGTTTTTAAAGCTTCTGTTTTTTTTGCTCGCAAAACTGCATTATGAAACTATACAAGTGGATTATCTTATATCTAATCTCCTCAGAAATATCTCTGAAAAATGTATAACTTGTACTTAGTGGCTGTTTTGACTGGAAATTAAATTACTGAAGGGTGGTCTCTGACTTTTGTACATTACTGTACTTGGGTACCACACATTATCACTGTCAGAGCAAAATCTTGTGTTTCCAAAATGGTAACTTTACAGCCGAAGGAAAAACATTCTTAACTTATAAAGATATTTAGTCCATGGCAATTTGGAATTTGGACCATTTATATTGGTCCAGTCGACATGCAATCTTTACACGCAAAGGGCAGCTGGCGTTTTCAGATTATGTAAAATGGAAAAAAAACAAAAATGGAGATCCAAGTTTTGTTGTGACAGTGAGTATTTACTTGTTGGTGTAATCTGGTATATTCTGAGGCCATTAACAAGAATCTGCAGAAACCAAATAATAATTTTAACGTGATCTTTCAAAAAATCCGTCCAGTGTGCTTCAGCCAAGCTTATACTAGAAGATTATAGCGTGAGTTTAGCTTTATAGAGGTGAATTTCTCTCTGAGACAGAGGTTTTTTCATTGGTTCTAACTGGGCTGTTCAAGGAATCACAGTATTATGCAGGGTAAACCACAGAGGCTCATTAATATACAGTTTGAATGTTTTATTGCGGAGCACAAATTAGGCCTTTAAATCTTGGCGTCCTCTCCATGTTGACTCTGAAACAGACACTGAGCCAAAACAGGCTCATTTGTTCCTGCAGTAACACACGCAGCCTCTATTTCATAAGTGCTCCACAGTTCGACTCTGAATAGTCTGATCCACTGAACTGCCTGGTAAAACCTGCTGTACAGCCAAAATTCATCCAGAGAACACTGACGAGGTTTTGCTGTCAGTTCACATTTATGATCAAGCGCACACTGCTCTGCTGTTCATTCAACGTCATAAATGCTTGAATGGATAATCTTTTAATATTTTTTAATTCTGCTCTAAAGCAAGCAAATGTTTAACCAGCAAACTTGCTGAAGTGTTGTCCGATTTTCCGGTTTGTATGTGTGGGTGTCAGTATGATTTGTATGTGAGGGTGTTTTCTAATAGAAATGTGGTCATTAGATGAGTTCATAAACTATGCTGACCAAATGAATGATGTTTGTGACCGCTGCCATAACTGTAATGAAATGTCGAATTTTGCTATGAAATACAAATAGGGTCTTTACAGTGGCTTCATACATGAGGATATGTTTATGTGGTATCAACTGTTATTTTATCATGATTTGTGAATTAAATGATCAAAAGGAAAAGCTGGTCACTGTTTTACTTTAGACAAACTTGCTGACTGTCTGTTTTACTTTCAGACAAGCTTGCTGACTGTCTGTTCAATTCATTAAAAATAAGTTGCCTAATACACATATAAAGGCATATATTATCACAGAGATATACAGTCACATGCAAAAGTTTGTGTGCACCGGTCAAGTTCCATGTTTTGTTGATTTTCTAAGTGATCCTCTACAGAAAACACATTTCTCTGCACATTTTAATGAACATATATATATATATATATATATATAGTCCAGTATGTTAAACTCAGCAAATGAAGAGAAGCGGCACTAAAATTTGCACAGAAAAATCAACAGAACACTTCATTTGACTTGGCGTGTCCAAACTTTTTCATGCGACTGTGCATTTAAATAAAATAAATTGACTTCATTTCAAGATACGAGTAATATAAACATCCTTAATTTACTTTTTTATGACTAATTCTACTAGTTCTACTGCTAATGGACCTTGCTAGTTGACCTCTTTCAATGGTCAGCTGGGGTTACAGATACAAGATTTTTCTCCAAACATGAGGAAAAACAGTCAGGTAAGTGCACTCACGCTGTACTTGAATGGTGCTGCATATGCATAAATACATATGCATAGTTATTCAAGACTCATTGTGCCAAATAGTCAATTGCCTCTCACTTTCAATGGAGGACTTCATTTGATTCATGTTTTTTAAATAGGTGACTGTTTTTTCATTTGAGAAATTAAAACGCCAATTTTGGCCCATTAAGAGCAAACAGTGACTTTTACTAATAGAAAGTACTGGAAATCTGAGAAAAAAATGGGCCAATGGGTCATCGAGTCTGCCATCAAAATACATGATCGTTCCGCCCTTTATTGTTTCATCCTGTTTTTAATTAAGATTTCTGATCATAATTCACTAAACATTAGTTGTAAATGTCACTGATTGATCCTGATTTTTTATGACAGCTTTTTTCTGGAAAAAGAAACAGCATTTAAATTGCTGCTATATGTCATTCTAAGCAAAAATCACCTGAAGGGGAATTCCACTCATTTTTCAAATTTTTGTATAATTCAATCATTAAAATGTATATGTAAATGCAAGTCATTCAGAGTGGTTTGATGTGAAATGGTGGATTCTAGAGAAACTTACCAACACAGATTTATTTTCGCTTGAAAGGAACCAGGGGTCACTACAACACACATCAAGCCATTTTATTTGCTATTCAAAACCACCAGTGAATTTACTGTGTCTGAGTTTTATATGTAATGTTGACTATGGTAAAATAGTGGTAAATCTGAAAAGTTTTCTTTGGGGACTGTTTTGCGCCCTTCATGTACCTCTCCACCATTAATGGGTTTAAAAAAAAACATTTAGGCCAAACCCTTCTCAAAACTACCATCAATGTCTCGTTCATGTTCTAGAGTTTCTCTAGAACATTGAGTTTCACATCAAACCACTCTGAATGACTTTTTTACATCTTAAACATTTAATTACACAGAATATTTTTAAAATTGATTTTTTTTAGTTTTCAGAGCTGTGGTTGACTTTTCTGTTTTTTATTCCATTCCCAATGATTTCACTGTGTTCTTTCCTGACAGTGCTATTATGCAGTGTGGTTCTCAAGCAGTTGTAGTTCATCCTTCTGACCACTAGGAGTCTCTCTGAGCCCATATTTTATTGTAGAATTGAATGCAGAGTTGAGAAGGTCCTAATATGAAGTTGGTTTGAGTAATTGATGCCACAGCGAGGCTTCGGGTGCCCTCCAGTTTGTCGCAATTACTCGTATCATGGTGCTAATTTATTCCTTTTGCATTTTTCAGAGCCAAGTTTTTCCAAAGTCGATTTAAAAACTTAACATAAAACTTTTCACACAGAACTAGGAATGTAGGTACTTCAGGTTGAAGCAGTTGACCCCTCGCTTTTGTTTAATGAAGCATTTTAATGAGTCACTTGGTCTCCTTGGTATAGGATATTGCTGACCCTGATTTGAATAGGTCAGTAATCACCGGAGATTCAGACCCAGAGACGTGCTTCTGCATTTAGCTTCATTTACTGTACATTTCTGACTGAGAGAGAACCTGTGCTATTGTAAGCTGCCCTCCAAAATCGCTTAGGAGCCAGAAAAAAAGTAGTACATTCAAAGAGGAATTCCACCATTTTTTTCAATTCCTGCATAATTAAATGATTTAGATGTAAACAAAGTAATTCAGTGTGGTTTGATGTGAAATACGCTGTTCTAGAGACAGTGTGAGACATTGCACTTTGGCCCACCAAGCCAAAACATTCCAGTACCCTTGCTTTAGAGGCTACTGCAGGTATAGTGATGGTCAAATTTTTCATTGTGGCCACATCATTATTCTTACAATGATCACATCATGAGAAATCCTATATTTTGATTAAATTGTCATTTTTAGAAACTTTTCAATGTGCAAAAGTCAATCTACAGTATAAAGCATTAAGCAAGAATATCTGTGTTGTATTTCTGATTACCACAAACAATAATTTCAACTTAGAAAAGAAACAAAAAACACATATAATAGAAGGAAGTGGGTAGTTGCTAAATTTCTGAAATAAGCGAAATGAAATAAGTGGACATGTAACATGAATTCAAAAAATCCCTTTTACCTCAAAGTTTACATGCTCTCTAAAACCTGAGTGATGCCTGTCGGCGTAGCTGCCCTGAGCAGATGAAGCTGTGTGATTAAAACCATGTCCACAAGTAGGCCCCTGGAGTAATCCAAATGGAGGTCAGTGGGGGTCTCTTGCTGAGTAATGCCCGAGGTTTTGAACAGACAGGAGCTTTTCTTGCTGTGCCCACAGGGTGCACCATGAGGGGTGATGTGTTCCTGCTAGTCCAATTGACTTTTGCTCAAGTCCAACAGCTCAAGAAGTTAAAAGTGGACAAAAGTTTACATACCAGGTGCTGGTCTGCTTCATCTCAGGGAGTTAAATGTGAGGAGAGGATCTCACAGGTCCTGATCTTGCTCTTTGCTGGATTGACTCTGCAGCCTTACACCTTTACTCACAGAGTAAGAGGATTGTCCAGTGTCTGCAGGGGTCATGCTGACCGACACGACTGCTGTTAAGTGTCAACATAGGCTTTAGACTAGCGCAGAAACTCGCAGCTCTGCTTTCAGAGACTTGTGTTTAAGCAAAATTAAGCAATCATCACAAACCAGTTTCCATAAGACAGTTAGAAGTATCAGTATTATGACAGTGATATAACGTTGTTGTATATTCATTTCATGTCTTAACAATAATGATTCCTTACATATAAAGTTGTTGTTCTATGGTTTTGTTCCAAAGAATTCTTTCTGCTGTGTTTACTTTTAAGTCAAAAGATGAACATGAGGTAGTTTTTATGTTTAGATAATGAGAAACGCTCATCAACAAGCCACAGTCATAACAGAAAATAGACAAACAGACTGGATCCGCATTGGTAAAGGAGTAAGACAAAGCTGCCTACTGTCACTGTACTTGTTCATCCTGTATGCTGAACATATATTGAGTGACATGGGACTGGAGGAAGATGTTCAATGATTCAGGATTGGTGGAAGAAACATCAGTAAACTTTGATTTGCAGATGACGCAACACCCATAGTGGAAATTCAAGAAGAACAGAAGGTCCTAATAAAGAAGGTTAAAGAAGTGAGTGAAGAGATGGGACTTCAGCTCAATATAGCAGTCCATATATTGTGGTTGGAATAGTGTAGTGGGTAACACCCAAAGTGCAAAATGTAGGGGATCCTGAGTGGTCCACGACCCTCTAATTAACCTCTTGGACCTTCTGAATGTCTCAATCAAAATTCTGGGGGGCCCTGAGAATAAAATTATTATGATGTTATGCTGTCCATTAGGAGAAAAATAGACCCTCAAATACAAGCTCAGAGAAAGCTCATTGTTTAGCTGCTTCACCCTTAAAATGGCGAGTATTTCACATACTGGTAACATCTTTGCCCTCCATGCCATGCTGGGGTTCGATTCCCTGCTTGGGCAAGCGCCCTATGTTTTACCAACTTGGGCAACACTCCTAACACTACCTTTGCCTACCTCTGTAAAACGTGTTCAAATTGTAAGTTGCTCCGGATAAGAGCGTCTGCCAAAGGCCAGTAAGAAGAGAACAAAGGTTATGACAACAGGAAAGACTGCTAATTTTACCGTTGATGGTGAAGATGTAGGAGTGGTGGATGGCTTTTTCCTGCTTCATAAATACAGACCTTATGTTCAGGTTGTTAGCGGTAACGTTGGCTCTCTGACTTTCTTCTGCATTTCAGACAACCCACCCTCATGTATCTCCCCCAAGTGACTGTAGTTTTTAAAAGTTCCTCCCACCTTCATACATCATCAAAAGGGTTTTTTTTGCTAGTCTTTAAACCAGAAAAACAGACTCTCTGAACTACTGTAGCAGGCGAGTAGGCTTGCATACAACAAATACATTTTTTTCATTTTTTCCTCTGTGGCATCACTCCAAAGAACATTTTTTGGCACGTTTATTAAGAGTGCAGGACAGTTGTAGCCATTGGGGTTTGTCTTTTTAGGCTGGTTTTGAGGTTAAAAGTAGAAACTGACTATGATGAGAAAGCAGGCTTTTTTGAAGATTCCTGGTAAACAGCAGTTAGAACCATTGCAGAGCAATTGGGCATCGCAAAATGAACAGTATGAGATAGAAACTACTAGCAGGTAAGCGATTTGGGACGATCAGATCATTCAAGATGGCCCACAGCAATTGATGGCGGAAAAATCATTACAGCTATGAGGAAGAAGGAACCACAAAATAACAGGCCCAGAAATTGCAGACAATCTGCAGACTGTACGACTGAAATCACCATTGACCGTTCACCGAAGAGCAGGATGTAAACGCTTCATCAGCACCAAGAACAGAAAGACCAGACTTGAACTGGCAACGAGGAGAAACGATGAGCCTGATCAGCTGTAAAAGAGGTTTTCTGGACAGATGAAGTTAAGATAAAGTTTTAGCAAGTGATGGAAAGGGAAAAGTGTAGCGAAAGA